TTAAGATAAAATAATTTTGGTAACAAAATGACAGTTCATAAATACATTTGTAATTAATAGGTAGAATTATTACAAAAAATGTATAAAAGATTGTTATGTTCATATTTGTCTCCGTCATTTATTTAACAGTCGTTTTAAACTAATTCAAACTGTTGTGTCGAACAATGTAGGTAGTATCGCATTCAAGTATATTTAAATTTTTCGACAGCTAAGAAAGTAGCGTCTTTAGTTCAGCACTGGTTAATTGGTTGATGGTGGCTAGATTGCTGAAATTACTTTGGACTACCTACTTGGTAAAGTTAAATCGTTTTAGCAGTTCAAATTAAATGCTAGGTGTTTCAGGAATTTTCGCCGGCTGCTTTCTTGTTTATTAATGTGCATCTTGTAAATGGTGGAGCAAATTATGAAGATATTTAAAATTTGATTTAGCCAGAAACTGATCATTTTCAAACTCTATCCTAATTCTAATCGGTTTATTTCACTTTTGCCTTACCTATATTACACCGAAGTAAACTTTGTAGCTCTAACTGTAGCAATATAAATTTAATTAATTTAATAAAGTGATGTTCAAATAACACGCACATTTTGCGCAACCCGAACGAAGTTCTCGGTACTTTCAACAAGAGAGATTCTTTTGCTCACCTACACTATATTCTTCCCCGATATTAACCCAATTAAAACTTTTTTTTGCCACCGGAATCCCTGAATTTTGAGCAACCAATATTAAATATTTATACAAAATATAAAAATAGAAAACTACAGCTTTATTAATTCATTAATTCACTCCTAGATAGTATATATTGTTTATATATTTGGGGACTGTATTTTTCACTTCCTTATTAATTACAGATTTTTACATTTGCGCGTTTGAAAAAGGTCTTGCCTTGCCCATAGTTAAACAAATAGCTAATACTTATTTAATAAAATTTTACTCCTACTGCTGTAACAGAATAAAAAAGTTGGAACATTTTAAGGTCAACTTCAAGCAGGTGACGAAAAATTACAGGAGCATAAAGTGAGAGAGTAGAAGACTGTCTTTTGTTCTGCCAGTTTTATAGTAAGAATTTTATATTAACTAATGCCAACTAGCAAAAATTTCAACAACATCATTTTACATATAAAAGATAATATAAAGAAAATTACCGAACGTGAGCGACATAATCTAAACCGTATCCTAATTTATTATTTTGATTATTATCTCAATTTTTCCGAAAGAAATAGTAAATCACCTACAAAGCAACAAAAAAACGTTAACAATCTGAAACCCGCTTTGCCGCAAGCGTTTTCTTCAGTCTCGATGAGTAACACCAGTAGCTGTTATTGTAAAATGTAAAACTGCAACTAATGCAGAATACATTGACACCAGAGAATACCGAGTAAATTAAGCATAAAAAAGTGGCAATAAAACAGGCGTTTCACTTAAGCTTTTATTATACGTGGTTATTTCATTATTTTATATTGCCCTTAATAATACGTTGTACGCGTTACGGTGCCGACGCGTATTTAAATGCTCCAGAAATATAAAAGCATATAAGGCAACAAATCTTGCTTTTGATTGGAACGAAGAGTGAAATATGTTGATATGTAGAGCCACCGTGGTTCTGTACTGAGTCTGAAAATTAATTATGGTCTTTGACGTCAAAACTGCATATTAATTTAGGCAACTTTAGTGACGAGTTGGTTTAAGCACGAGCCGAGGGCAGTGGAGCGGGTTTCTGATAAAAGAGTGATTGAAGAAGCTTTGCGTAGCGTGCGTTCAATTTATCTTGATAACCATTTAATTGGCTGTAACTTTTTTGTTTTTAGAGATATCAAGGTAAACAAAAAACTTAAATGTAGGGTTAGTAGGCAAATTTTTTTCCAAGTGACCTATAAAACAAAGCACTATCAATTTTTTGACATATAAGCCTACATCATATTTTTTAAATGTAATACCCTGTATATTATATATGTTTTAATAGAATGTCTTATTCAGATTACAATGATGTAACACACTTTATATTTTAGTTCACTCTTTTTTAACAAAATTGTCCAAGTCATTATTGTTAAAATGTTTTTTCGTGAATTTAGCATCCGTGAAAGGAGTGATGCTTCAAGTATACTTCCTGAATAATAAAACTCGAATCGCAGCTCGTCGTCAGTATATTAAACTTTATCCAGAGCGCCGAGCTCCTTCAAAACAGATATTTCCGAGGCTGGCAAATAAATTTGCAGAAAACGGTATGCCGAGTCATAATGTTTTAAATGAAGAAAATGAGGCAAACACATTAGGATTCTATAAAGCACATCCAGTTTCCCTTTTTACTAGAGTATATCAAGGGACAGGTATTGCTCAAGGATCAATCCACTCAGTTTTGAAAGAATATAAATATAATCCATTTAAATTTCGTAAAATTCAAAAACTAAGTGCAGAACAATGTTAAAGAAGGATGCAGTTTTGTTTGGATTATTTAAATAGACATAATGAAAATAATAATTTTTTGAAAAACATTTAATGGAGTGACGAATGTTCGTTCACTACAAGAATAATAGACAAAATACGCGATATTGGTCTTTAAATAATACTAGACAAATACACGAAATAAAAACCCAGGGTTAACAATCAATTAATGTATGGTGTGGTCTCATAGATGGGCATATTTTGAGTCCGATATTTATAGATCAAAAGTTAACTGAAGATCATTATTTGCAACTCTTAGAGCACCAAATAGAACAATATATAGAAGACTCACTCCTAAATACATCAGCGCTGATTATATGCCAGCAAAACGATGCCCCACCTCACAATGTTGTGCAAGTTAAAAAATTTGTTAACATGGAAAATACCAGGGGTTGGATAGGGGCGGCGGAACTACGGATTGGCCAAGCAATAACACCAACTTAACTTTGATGGATTTTTTCTTTTAGGAAAACAAAGAAAATCACGTGCACAAAGCTCCTTGTAATAATGCCGTGTAACTTCGGCAAAGGATTTCAGAAGCAATTAAATTAAAATTAATTAAAAATAATTAATAAAAATTAAATACAAAAAAGTTACAATCAATTAAAATGTTATCAAGGTAAATTGGACGCACACTACATTTTTGCACTCCGGGGCTAACCAAACTCGTGACATCCAATGACTCCCGGCCATGCGGTTTTAAATTATTTTAGAGTAAATAAAAACTATTTTAACTCTATTTCTTAAGACACAACAAAACGGCTGATCAGATTTTGTTAGACTTCAAGTCGTTAAAAAGAGTTTTTTTGAGTCTATCATTTATTAAGATTTCTTGGTGGCCGCCAGATGGCGCTTTGTGACAACGCGATTAATAAAACGATTTTTGTTCAAATATAAAAATAAAAACTAAAAATCATATCAGTGAAAACCGTGTCTAGATATCTTTCCTAACCTAAATGTAGGCGATATCAGTTGATTATAATATATTATGCAACAAGAGCGGCATTTGAGTCACGAGTTTATTTGGCACAAGCGGAGCGAGTCTTTAATAAATGAGTAACTTAAAAAGTTTAACCAAACGTGTAGCATACTGTACTTTTTCTACGACAGTTAGTTTTTGGGTACATTTTTGCAAAAATCAAGCCGTGAGGTAAAATCTCCGAAAATATCCGATTGCTCCCAAAGCCGTGCGGTATAATCTCAGAAATGTCCGAAGTGACTCGGATCTATAGGACAAGAAACTCACGTAATAAAGTGACGTTTGCCGCACGCTAGATCAGTGTATAATTAGGTATTTTTTCTACTCCTGTCTGTAAAATGCCTAATTATACACCGATCCAGAGTGCAGGAAGCGTCACTTTAACACATCAGTTTGGTTTCCCACATATCCGAGCCACTTCTTACATCTGGGATTTTACCGCACGGGTTTGGGAGCAATCGGATGTTTTCGAAGATTTTACAGCACGGTTTGAATTTCGACGTCTGTCAATTCTGACGGTCGTATTAATGAATGTATTCCTGTTGTTTTGCGAAAATATAACCAAAAACTAACAGTCGTAGAAAAGGTATAGAATGCAACATGTTCGGTAAACTCTTTATCTCACTCGTTTATTACGCACTCGCTCGACTGCGCTCCGCTCGTATCAAACTCGTGAGTCAAATGTTGTTTACCGCACTTGTTGCATAATATACTATTACGACGAGTGACTTAAAAAGTTTACCGAACGAGTTGCATACTATACTTTTTCTAAGACCGTTAGTTTTTAGGTGCATTTTCGCATAACAACACGAATACATTCACTGACATAAAATCCCAGAAATGTTCGAAGTGGCTCGGATCCGTGGGAAACGAAACTGGCGTGGTAAAGTGACGCTTCCCGCACGCTAAATCAGTGTCTAATTAGGCACTTTACAGACGGGAGTAGAAAATATACTATTACAGAAGGGGGTAGGAAAAAAATTGTGGGTTTCGAAGCAATCGGATGTTTTCAGAGATATTACCGCACGGCTTGAATGTTGACGTTTGTCATGTCAGTGAATGTTTTAGTGTTGTTTTGCAAAAATGTACCCAAAAACTAACGGTCGCATATAGTATGCAACACGTTTGGTAAACTTTTTAAGCCACTCGTTTATTAAACGCTCTCACTGCAGTTTACCGCACTTGTTGCATAATATACTAAAATCACTTTGATAATAATAGTAAGTTCTAACCAATGTATAAATTTATTCGTTTCCGTGTCCATTTTGGTTGTTAAATACCGTCGGTCATTGGCTAAAAACGAGAATTTAAATCTCGGGCATGCGCATGTTGAATGAACCAACCTTATCAGCTTTATGAAGAAAATAATTTAATAAGATTCCCGCTGAAATTATATCATAATTGAACTGAGGTGTCTTTTACTTGATGAAAATCCATTTATCAAAATCAATAAGAACTAAAAGTTCAGATTTTCACGAAATTATATATTTTGGCAACACCGTGTCTTTATCAAAATCAATAAAATCAATCAAAAGTAGATTAAACGCATCCACCAGTTCTGGTGAAACTTGTGCTGTATCTGACATTAAATTTATTTTCAAAACTAGACTCAGTATTCTGCCATCAAATCCATAAAAACAAAAAAATGACAAGTTATAAGAGGTTTCTGCTTGTGAGTCTACGTGCAAAGTATAGGATTTTACTTTTGCGTAAGTAGAATGTAGTGTCCGCGTTTAATGTCTTAGGTTTTCGGCAAGGTTTAATTTCCTTGGTATTCCTGGTAGCTACGTCAGCGTCGCTTTTTCGACCGGTAAGCGACAAAGCAAAACAAAGCTAGAACTTCAAATAATGCAACTTTGTTTATTATTTTTAAACCACAAATGACTGAAATAATATTATAAGTGAGATAACATATTTTTTTTACAGTTGGCGTGTAGATTAGCGGTATCAACAATTTTTTCCCGTGACCTTGCATTCGTGCCATGCCTGACATTCAATATATCATCAAAAATAACCCTAGTATTCTGTGATCAGAACCATCAAAACAAAGAATGTCAATTTATAGTAGTAGGTTTGTTTTGGTGCAAGTGGATTGGAATTAACTCAGAAAGTTCTATCCCCTGCTTCTTGTCTGGAAAGAACTATAAAACCAGTAACAACCCAAAACAGCGTGCGTCCTGATGGAATTCCATATAAATTTAAAATTTTATTTGCTCGAACCTCAAATTACAAACCGCTGGTTCTACTCCAGTTCGCCTTTTGTGACGAACAAAGAACAATAGAAAAATCCGAAGTGCTAATAATTTTTAAATAAAAATGAAGGGGGCACTAGTAAATGTAGTATTGCTCAGCCGAAAAATTTTTGTTTATGGAATTTGTGTATTCCTTTCAGCAATTATTGTAAACTCTAAAGTCAATATATTGCCAATAGCAGGTCTACCCTTTACATTAGTTTTTGTGACAGTATGGTTATTCGCAATGTCTGCTACTTTTGTTGGGCTTCATAAACTACTGCAATACAAAGAACCCGTCGATTTTGAATGGCTCAATAAAATTTTCTTTGGACATTCATCTAAAGACAGATTTAAGCCTAACATAAAGGTAAATGAAGAAAATATTAGGCATCTAGTGGAAGATATTGATAGAAATTTTATTTCCAAATGGTATTCTAATATAAGTAAAGACATGAATTTCATAGAGGAAAGTAAAGTTTTCATAGAAGAAGTTTTAACCCGATTAATTGAAGTTCAACTTAGGGTTAATAACCAGTCTCTTGTTAATACACTATTGAACATTTACCTGAAACATTTAAAGGAATTCAAGAGAAGTTTAAAACGTAAAGAAAAGTATAAAATGGATATAAAAGAATTGTACCGGTAAGTCACATCTTACAATGTAAATATATCCATCATAAAGACCTTATTTGTCTTAGGTATTCACATATATGCAGCACAGCAAACAATAAACCACGGGAATTCTTTTTGCATCAGCTCACATTGGATCTCTTAAGACATTTTATAAATTCAGAATTGTGGAATTCTCTCCCTTGTCATATTCTAGTTTCAGTGTTGGCAAGAAAATTTACTTCATACTTATTACAAATATTTTCGAAACCAGATGTTTTAAATTATTTAATTTTAAACTCAGTTGTGTCATGCAGTGAGAGAGATAGTTTAAAATTGAATGAATATGGCCGTATTTCCATAATTAAGTACTTTGATGTGACTGACTCTCTTAACCATCAAAACCTGAATTTTGAATATAAAGATGAAGGCCATGGAAAACAAAAAGACATTATAAAACCTGAAGAGGTTAAGAAGGAAATTAAACAGGATAAAACACCAGTACAGTTAGAGAAAAACTATGAAATTGTTTTGAGAAGAAGAAAAGCAGTTGAAATGCTGGAAAAGGTTTTTTAGCATTTGTTCTTTTATTTTATAATTTAATGTAACTTCTAGCAGGATTATTTGCCAAAGGAGAGCTTTGCAAAAAAAACTGATCCTGTAAAAATATATGAACCAAAGGGTAGTACCAAAACTTGGAGAGATTCTAGAGACTTAGCTTGTGTTTCGCTGGGGCAAGATCCTCTTGATGCATTGCAGCTACAATCAGAAAGTGCAGTACCACAGAAGCACAGATTTTGTGAAGTTGGAGGTAGCCCTTGTTTTTATAATCTAATATATCAATTTTACCATCACAAAGTATTATACACTGTTAAAATGACTTCGTAATCATGGAGCATAATGTTTAAACAACTAATTCAAATTATTATAGTTAAAGCTGAAGAAGTTAGATCAGACTCGGCAGCTACTGCGGCTACTACTTTATTTAATGAAGTTATGCATATAACCTCCATGGGGGGTTTAAAAAGTTCCATTAAACCAATTCTTAGTAAGTAGGTAGTTTTTGCATGGGATAAATAGTAACAAACACGATGAAGTGTAAACATTTGTAATAATTTGCATGACTTTTAAAAAACAATTTCTTAAAGCTTAAATAAAAAATAAAGTTTGATAAAATCTACGTTTTATGCTTGAGGAATCTATTTTAATCAAGAAATAAACAATTCAGTGAAATAAATACTGTACTGAAATAAATTTTTGTAGGAAATGTTGTTGATAATAGTAATGACCAAAAAAAAACTATTGTATTATACTCATCACACGTACTACTGATACTAAATGAATTTAAGGGATTAAATTATTACATTTGGGTATATGTTTAGGTGATGCTACTGAACGCACTTTGCACAACATTAAAGATCTGCAAGAATCAACTGTACATAAAATTGGGGACTTTCAGGTAACTGACAATCAAGAATTACATTACATAAAGTACTTACACCATTTACCACTACACACTCTTCTCTATTCTTCTGTTCAGTGTTCTGTACCGCACATCCAGTCAAAGGTATGTTGCCATACATATTATAGAATAGTAGTAGTATAGGATATTTTTTCATAGATTAAAATATTGCTATTTACAAATAATTTGAAATTTTAATAACTTAATATGATGCAACTTTTGTTTTTAATAACCAGTTTGTTCAAACGAGAACTAGGATAAATATGCACATAAGCAAAACAATTTAACTTTTTTCATTCATTTTTTATTTTTATTTGGTATTTTCATACTAAGCATTTGTTATATTAAATGGACCTTAGTAAACTAGACCTGCGCAATTCGTTCCAATAAAAATAAATTGGGCATTCTATTTAAAATAAAATTATGATATCTGGCAACATTATTGTTAGCATTTTTAAATTCTGCATATTCAAAAACACCAAGGCATTAAATTTTATCGCTCCAGTCATCATATCATTAACTAGACCTTCAAAACTTTAAAACATTTTTTTTATCCAATGTTATTGGGCATTTCAATGTTCCACTCTAATAATAAAAATTTGCGGCTCCAATTTTAAACGGTCACTAATTTGGATTCCTTTTCAAACACTTAAAAAAAAATCTGATGACAATCTTAATGTCATATTTTGTTTCGGAATCTTAGTCTATGGTCATACACACCACAAAAACACGATTTTTAAACCAGAAACCCGATGGGTATGTAGCAAAAAAAAAAACACAACATGGCTAATACAGACACCTCATTTTTAAAACTAATAAAATGATTAATAAAATTTAACAATCTTCGAAAATTAACAAGTTAAAACTTTATAAATATATAGCAATTTTCCTGGGTCTGAACTTTTCCAATTATTAGAAACACCCAGTGCTAAAAACTATTCAAAACTAAAATTGCAGGATGAAGCAGCGGGCGTTGTTGAAGGCATTTTGGATTTTGGTCGTGCACGCTTTAAAAAGGGTTTACGTCTAACAGGCAAATATTTTCTTATAACTCTGAGTATAAGCCTTAACCACCGATGACCCTTTCAGGTTTGCAAGACAATATTGAAAATGCCAGAGCCACGTTCGCGCAAGTAACAAAAAACCCACTGACAAAATTGACGAGATCTGGATCACAGGAAAAGATGAGTTCCGCTGAAAGTGTTGAAGAATCTGTCTGGTTAAATCCACTGCAGCCAGACTCGCCTGTACTTGATTGTGTCATACAAGAGGTCAGTTTAGCAATATAGAAGCAGTTTATTATTTTACAGAATTTACAGCAACGCAAATGGTGACATGGCCAGGAATATGTATGCCCCCAAAAAATCATGATAAGACTCTTCGGACATTCCCACAATACATCCGCGAATTTGTTGCTGTTACCATATCAAAATATTAAAGAAAACATAAATATGAAGGTTATTAAACAATTCCAGCCAATCATGTAACATTGCTAGATATGTCACTCATCTCCAGCTTGTGCTGGTGAAAACTACTTTGAATGATTATTACAGTTATTCCACCAACTAAGAGGTGTAAAATAATTGTTGCTCTATATATAACCACTTATTTAATAATTTAAAACAGAACACCCATTTCTGTGGAAATTGCAAAGTTTCAGCTTTTGATCTGTTGAAAATTTTAGTTGTTAAGTAAAATGAAAAGCAATGTAAAGATTTGATATTTTATTGATTAACACCCAGGTTAAATACTTGTGGTTCTAAAGGTATATTTTCACAAGTTGAAGAATTGATGCGCCGCAGGCGGCATTGATATTTTCGTAGAACAGGTAATGATTTTCCTCACATGCGTCTACATTTCACCCACTACCCAGTTTGTGTTATTTTGTTCCCAAACAGCTATTTCCATACATTTAATTCGTTTTACCGAGAACATTTAGCGAGATTTGTCATATTTTGAGAAAATACTGCCATAAAAACTGCCGCATCCGAACTTATTCACGATGTGTCAGCGGCCATGTTGGTTGTTGAATGCTCCATGGACACTGGTTAAAAGCGAGATTTTAAATCTCACGTATGCGCTTGTTGAATGGACCTTTTCAAAAAAATTTTCATAGTTGCTTCATTAGTTCCTGTACTATCGACACAAGCAGGGCCCCTATATCTCTAGTAACTATATGCTACAATGCTCCGTAACCATTAAGAGCTTGGCAAGGCTAATTTGCATATAATTTCAATGAACAAATGATATGAAAATTATTTGAAAAGGTAGAACAGAACTGAATAAATCAACGAGATACGTCAAACGAAAATAAACTGAAAAGGGTGAAAATAAAAATGCTAAATCGCTACAATTCTCGCCCAGCAGTCACTAGTCTCTCATTTAAGCTGTATATAGTGCTCACACGTAACGGTATTGTTATTATTTTTAATAAACTCAAAAGGATCATTAAGTATTTCCTCTTAGGTCAAACAATGTAATCCGCGAACCAGCTTATATAAACCGCAGAGGTCAGAAAACTTTTCTATACCATCAATATCAACTGAGCAGCCTAAAGAAAATAACAGTCCCGATTTGGAATATGAAGACACCGCTGATTTGGCTTCAAGTATTGCAAAATTAAGGTCATTATTGCAACAAAGGTCTTCTGAATCAAGTCTGTCCACACCAGCTGTGAGTCCTATGTATGTAAATAAATGAACCAATTAAGTTTACGAAACCTATTGGCAACTTTTTTATTTTCAGGCCAGATGAATACGCCCAAAGAGCAGTGGAGTCAGAAAATACTTCCGATATAGAAGCGTCGGAAGTGGATGGTGTAATGCCTAGTTTTTACAAGTTTTGTACAAAAACAGCCTCAGGAGTTCTAACTAATACCATTAACACAATAAAAACTGCGCTTCCGGGCAACAACAATGGACTTAATTCTAGCACCGAGAGGTGGATATTCAAATCTGAATTAATTGTAAGTATGTAAGCATTAATTTCTCAAGGAAAATTGTTCTGTCCGAAAACCTTGTAAAGTTTAGGTACTTTAAATAAAACCCAATTTTAAAGTGATTGTGATACCAGAATAACCTGTCTTCCTCTCAGTAAAAAAATGCCATAGCTTACAACCAAATTTCGAAATGTACAGCACTTGGTCAATGGAAAAAATTGATCCAAGTAGTAAAGATTTTTCCAAGACAAAGGAAAAAGATATAATTTGGATTAATTAACAAAAATCCAGTAAACATTATGATTGTAATTGTAAAAGAGATATCTATAAGGTGCTCCAGGTAATTGAACAAAAGATGGTGTATAAATACATTAAAATTGAAGAAATAATAAATTTATGCATACTTAAATTAAATTACATTGCAAGTAGACAAACTGTTTATAAGCAAACACAGTACATATTCTACCAACCTACTAACAAAACTAACTAAACAAAAGTCAGTCAAAGTACTGGGGTGCTTTTTTTTCAGGAGTCCGGACTACTTTTAAGAATGAAGAAACTTTTGACTGAAAGAAAAGAGTATTGCACATTGGACAAAGAAATAGATACAGCTTGTGAAGCCTTAGATTCTGTTGACTTTTTTCAACAGAGTCCGGTTTTATCCAGTCTTCAATTTGATGGTGAGATCTTTTAATTTTCAGTTTATTATAGCTAATTCTTTTTTTTCAGATGAATTGGAAGATTTGGAGCTGAAAATTCCAATCATAAAAACAATCATGGATATTTGGTGCGAGTTGTTAGCCAACACAACATCGCCTTTAATACAAGAACCTATAGTCAAAGCTTTATTGTTATTGTTTGGTAGTCCCTTAGAAAAAGTTATTGGCTTAAAAATTGCGGCTATGCTGGGATTACTTGTTAGCAATTTAAATAGTATTCCTGATCAGACAAATACAAAGACACTGTCGATGGACTTTGATGAGTATATTACTATATTGTCAAATGCATGCCCAGGTATAGTGAACATTGAATTTATCTATTATATATATTTATATATCTTTGGTTTAAAACGTGCGTCGACGTTGTCGGATATTTAGCCTCCATTGTCGTTGCTCCTCCCATTGACCATCGTCTAAGTTTCTCGAGCTCATCGCTTTGCGAAATTTGCGTGCCATGTTTTTTTTGGACGCCCTCTTTTTTTTTTTCGATGGTGGTGTGGCGGAACCAGATAAGTTGTTTTCTTTCGATATCAGTTATGATTGTCTCGAAGTCCTATTGGTTCCCAAATAGTTTCATTTTTAATTCTTTCAGTTCCTGATTTTCTTGCTGATCTTCTAAGTGCATCCATTTCGGTTTATTCGGTTATTCTTTTATGTTTTTCGGTCATTTTCTAAGTTTCCGAACCATACTTCAAGTTAGAGGATTTCGACCAGCCATTTAATTGCTTTTCATGCCTGTATCATTCTTATTTTTATTTTTTTTGTCATCTGAACCCGTTTTGTCCAATGTAACCCCTAGGTATTTGTGCTCTTCACAGGTTTCTATTTCTTCTAAGTTTTCATAGGTTTCTTTTAGTTTGCGTGCCATATCTTCTTTATCCCCTGCTATTACTGCCTGATTGTCTGCAAACTGTAGGCTAAATATCGTTCTATCTGTTAGGTATTCCCATTCCCGAACATTTTTGTTTCCATTTTAGTAAGGCTTCTTTAACATACATTTTAAAAAGCGTTGGTGATATACAGCACCCCTAACTGTTACCCTTTGTTACGCAGAAACCTCTGGACTGTTTACTTCTTGTTTTTATTTTTGAAATCGAGTTATTATAAAGGTTTTTTATAGCATTTATTAGAGTTTGATTAATGGAGGTGCCTTGCAATACTTCCCAGAATATAAAAGTGGGTATGTTATCATAAGCTTTCGAGCGATCAATGAATAAGATATGTGTTCCTAAAGTAACTGCAGACCTTTTCTCTATTATTTGTTTCATACAGAATATGTTGTCAGTGCATGATCTTCCAGCTCTAAATCCACCTTGGTCTTCTTCTTCTATGAACTCTGCCTCGTAGATCTCCTAATATCCTTCCATATAATCTGCTAATTGAACCCTGTAAATGTAACGTAAATAACATTCCGCTTGCCACTTGCCATTGACTAGGAACTTGCTGACCATTCAGACACTTGTTAAAGATCTGTGTTAACGCTGTCATTAGTTTCGCAGTACCACTTTTTAATAATTCTGAGTATATTCCCTCTGGTCCACACAACTGCTGTTCTTACTGTTTCTTCTATTTGTACTTCGGCTTCAATGTTAACTGGCATCTCCTGAATAAATTATCTTCTTGTTTCTGTCAATAGTTCTTTGTAGTGCTGTATCTACTGTTATTCTGATATATCCTGAAAGGATACCTTTTTAGTGCTTGATGATCTGACTATTAATGAATCGCCATGCTTCTGCATGCATCTTCTTCCGCCAAGATGTCTGTTTATTTCCTGATATTTTGCTATCCCACATCTCATTGTTTTGGTGATTTATTTAATTTCGCGTTTCTCCCTTAGCTCAGTTATATACTTCTTGGTCTTCTGTGGATTTAGAACATTGAATTTTACTTATACAAAATGTGTTTGATCTTGTAATTATTTTAGATTCAGTCAAGACGATCCTCGGATCCGAGGTATTGCAGAACGCGCTGAGCTTATTTGTTTCATCAATACAAGAACAGGATATTAATCAAGACATCGTCCTTCAGATTATTGAACTAATTTCAATGAAACTTATAGAAGAAAATACACAAGTGTCTCCGCCAGTGTCTGCTTAAAACTCCACATTTTTCGTTATGTTGTTATTTAATTTGTTGATACTAAAAACTTATTATGATGTGATGTAAATGTTAATAAATTAATTAAAGGCAACAACAGTGTCCACTATCAATCAATATTCTAAGTAGTAACTAATAGGTGTCAAGTCCTCCGTCAAAAATCATTCCTCTAAATGCATATTGCTACATTATGAAAAAATTTTGTGTCTCGAGATTTCCTTAGGTCAGAAAATAGTCACCATAACAAAATCAACCCGCAGAAGAATTCATTTGTTAGATGTTGTAAATTCAAAATTAATTTGAAATTTCTAAATGGCGCTAACAGGCCAATGTTTGTATCAACCAGTATATTAAAAACAAAATACAGAAAGTCAAAAATAGTCCTAAAAATATGATATTCATATTCAATCAGCACCTTTTGTATATATAAAGTCACTTGGAACAACCAAAACATTGTTTCTTCCAACTGATACTAAATATTGCTTGATAATGTTTTCACGATTCATTCCCTGCTTAAATATTATCAGATTAGTTTCTGACATTATAGATGAACATACTCTTCCATTATAAAACTTAAATTCTACTTCATCCAAAAATGATTCATATATGATTACAGAATTTGAATCATTGACAATACTATATTTATCAAAATATGCAGTGAAATTATAAAAATTTTTAACGCCTTCAACCTGAATCATGCCATAAAAATTTGGCACATCCTGCAAGTTATCCATAAGCTTAAAACAATGTTTGAGAGATTCCACAGTAGCCTCTTGGGTGAAACTATCCCCAAAAATGTCAAATTCATCAGATAAAGTGTTTTTTATACTAGTGCCTAGTCCATATATTTCCGTGGTTTCATAACCAACTAAGTCCCCTTCGGTTAAAACTCTTTGTAACCAATCTGTACTTATGATGTCATAATTATTTCTGTGCTTTGTCAATTCTTTAATTTTTTGATTATAGGCTGGTGCCAACACAATATCTACTGTACTATCTAACTTATAAGTTATGGTGCCACCAGCCCTACGGATTAATGCTTCAATATCTTCCTTACTCATTTTGTCATCTCCATTTTGAACATAGATTCTGTAGTTTTCCAACAAATCTGATATTTTTCTGGAATCAGTAAAAGTTGGTATGTCTACTTTTTTTCTTTTTATAGTTCTTTGTTTAGTCTGCGTTATGTCTTCTAACTCGATATACCTTTTATTTAATTTTATCACGGCCTGGTTTTTATTACACAATTGGAGCAGTTCATTAATATCCAAACAATCTTGCACTGGCTTATCATCCCTAATTTTTAAAACTCTCGGAAAACGAAAACTGTATGGTGTTTTATATGCATTATCATTTGACCTAACTAACTCGCTAGCTCGAACAACAAATATTAATGATTTTTCTGGTTCAATCAAATAATTTGGAACCTCCTTACCAAATATCAAATTAGGTCCATGGGTGTTATCAAATAACTTGCCTTCGGTTCTCAATTTTCTATTCAAAAACTCCAACTCCTCATCACTTAACCCACTACTAACTTTCCCAAAAGATATGAAAAGAGGCATTCCCAAGTCAGTATTTCCAGATCTGATGCCAACAATAAAGGAATTTAATTGATTTGATGTGCTGGATGCATAAACTCCGCCCATCAGAATTAAATCTAGATCATTCATGGTATCTTGAAAATATTCCAACTTCATTTTAAACCAACCACTTACACGATCACTGTATCGGTAAAGTGAGTTTGGATCTTTTACTATAATTCCTTCTTCTTGTTTTTCTACTGCTGAGTTCAACTCATTAACTATTTCTTGGTAAGTACTTACTTCTCTTATTTGACTTAACATTACTGTACCAAGTATTAATGTTTTGAATATTTTCTTCAAAATTGATACTCTTTGCTTTAAAGGCTTATTGGTAAGAACATTCTCATTAAGCAGGATTATATCATATATGCAAAAACATGGCTGATATTTTCCTCCTATTTTGAGCTTCTTAACATCGAAGGTCATTCCTTTTGAACCAAATGTCTTTGTGTATCTATTCCACAGCATCATTTCTCCATCTAAAATTACCTTTTTGACAAATGGTTGGAAAAGATCCTTAAGCTTTGGCGTGAACATACCTGAAAGTAACATAAATTTTAATGATTTTTTTAAAGTTAGATACAGCTTTCTTATTACTGATTCTAATTGTGATTGATATATTGTTTTTAAAAACTAACTTAAAACAAGACCCTATTACTATTTACAAATCTAGATTCCTTCTGCGTTGGTTGGTGATGAATTAATCTTGCTGACATTTCGCTAGTCGTCCTTTTGGCTTCTTCAGAGCTTAACTGAACAGATTTATACACAGCCTAAGAATCTTTGCAAATTATGATATACTTATTATATTCTCAAAATGAGTAATGTGTAAATTGTGTAATTATATGATAAAATTTGACCTTTTCACTAAAATAGACTATTGAAGTCTTGCAAAGTAAGGGGAAGTTTGCAAAAGTAAAGGAGAAAACCTAAAGCATAGAACATACCATCATCATGTGTTGAACCATACGTGGCTGTATAATCAAATCCATTTCGAGAAAAATATTTGAAACAATTGTTTTCCATGTGCAGCTGAAAGCGCTCTCCATCAAATTTATTTTCCACATAGTACAGTTTGTTTTCTTGAAAATCTTTTATAAACGAAGCTCCATCAACTCGTTTTGATAACATGGGCCTAAATGCTTCGAATATTTCAATATCTAACTCATGAAGATTCACATTTTGATCATATAGAACTGCGCATACCTTCTTTAGGCTACTGTTACTGCAAAAATAGGCTGCTCCATCTCTGTGGTAATTATTTAAAATTTTATTAGCATGAATCCCTAATTTTAAATCCTTTAGTACTATTCTTATTATCCATTTGGTGTCTTCTGCAGAACACTTCCGAAACAAACGTATTAATATATCTTCTGCCTCCATTTCATTCCTTCTATTCACTAATCGATCCAAATTAGAGTTCAGTTCATCAATTGTTAATATGGTTTTACAGTTTGATAAATATTTTCTTATTACTGAGTAAACGACATCACCAAAATCACTTGCCTGTCCAGACATCAAGTATGATTTTAATAGGATATTTTTGTCATTACCAGAAGGTAATGCTAACATTTTAACTAAAACTTTCGCAACTCTGGACTCTTTCATGTTGTAACTTTGACGTTCTCTGTCCAATTTTGGTACAACTAAACGCAAAACTAAAAAAATTTGTTCTCGATCCAACGTTTCGCGACATTTCTCAAAAAACTGTTTAATGGTAAGGGCTTTTTCGGCACCTACATTTGCTTTTACAGCTTCGAAAAAATGACAAAGATCTTTAAAATCCATTAGAACATCTTTCCACCCTTTGCGGAAGCAAATATGCAAAAAACACGTCTAAAGTCCGATTTTCCCGTTGAAAAAAATTACTCTAATTTGATGCCGCGACCTGCGGTCTTTTCTGTTACTACAAATAGTTGTATGAGAATTTAAGGGCCTATGCACCTTCGTTATTTAGCTTCCAAATTAATTGGAAGTCTTTAAACAGCGTTTTTTTAATGGACCGTTAAATGTTCTCTTCTATTTATTTTTAGGTTAAACTTAAAAAATACGAAACATAATGTAAACAGTCGTTTATTTTTTGCCTGATTTATGCCGGATCACTTATTTATTGGAAAAATTGAATAACGCACCAAGGTAATGGTTCTTGTGAACAGAGATTATTTTATTATTTTCGAACAACCTAAGAAGCCAGATTTCAAGAATTCTAGGTTGTACGAAACATACATTTAGATTACTTTAGAGATAGCTCATTAATAAGGAAATTAGTTTGGATATTATGGAAATTATACTTTGCTTCCCCAATGCGTTTATATTAAATGTGCTTTTTTGGGTTCAGAAATTCCGAAATGATTGCTTTTAAATAAAATATCCCAAGCAGAAATTGACAAAAAGTGAAAATGGCGCTAATAATCATTATTGTCTTTGGTTTGGAAAGTACAAATCTTCTTTTTTTCAATTCTTCTTCTAGCAATAATTAACGATACTTGCATATGAGAAGTTTTAGTTTGTCTCTGGTACATTTCTTGTTTTTTTAACATTATCGATTACATGTTGGTGCCAAAGTTTCACTGCGACATGGATCTGATTGTAAAGGCAGCTTAAGCCGGAACTGACAACCGCAGCGCTAATGGGAAGTAACCTACGCAGGTAACTTTTGTTGACTGTTCTTGATCTCCGTCACAGTATAGCTTGTAAACAAAATAAAAATAGATTTGTCAAATTCGTTTTTCCTAAGCCAGCAAAAAGTTAGGAAAGGCGAGAAAATAATTTGTTATATAAATCCAGAAAGTGAAAATCGGTTTTCTATATTATGGATGTGGTGCAATCAAGTTACATTCCAACCGCAGATCCTCGGCTGATAGATCAAATCGTTTACGAATTAAAGTCTCAAGGCATTTTTGATCAATTTCGTAAAGAATGCATTGCCGATGTAGACACGAAACCAGCTTATCAAAATTTGAGGCAAAGAGTAGAAGGAAATGTTATAAAATTTTTACGTCAACAGAGATGGAGTCAAGACATAAACAAAAATCAACTTCGCGAACAATTACGGAAAAATATTTCCGAGTAAGTTGAGACTCTTCTCTTCTTTGATGTTAAGTTTTTATTATATTTTGTTAAAATTCTAGGTCTGGATATTTGGAGACAGGTGTCGAGCGCATTGTAGATCAAGTTGTCAACCCTAAGATAAATTCTGTTTTTCTACCTAAAGTTGAAGATGTTGTTTATAGATTTCTTGGTCTTCAGAAACCAAATCGAGAATCCAAAAAGGAAATCAAAGTTACTGTTATGGATTTGTTACCCAATGACTTGGAAGCTGTTTCTCCTGAGTCTGAACATGGTGCCAATTAAAAATATATATATAAATTTTTTATTTGTCTATTCATATGTAACTTCAGACCTTTCATCTGAACAAAAGGAGGATGCTGCGGAACTTAATGAAAAGTCTAATAATTCGGATATCAAAATGGACGAAGATGTAAGCCCTGCATTTGAGCCATTAAATAGTCCAACTGCATATTCTCCCAGAGATGAAAATTCGGTGGAGTCCCATCTATCTTGCATTTCAGGTATTAAAAAGTAAACTTGTTCTTCTATACATTATGTTTATTAGTTTATTTGTTTGCACACACATTTGTTTGCTTTATATTTAGCAAGTCGTGATTCCATTAATAGTAATATGGGTAGATCATCAAATCAGATTGACACTTCACAGAATAGTACAGAGAGTCAATCTTCACTAACATTTGATGATAATTCAAAAATGGAAGTTTGTGAAAGTGTTGAAGATGAATCAACAAAGATAGCTGTCCCTAATAAAGACGACATTGATGGCAGAGATGCTAAAAATATATCTGATATTTGTGAGGAAGTTGAAGTTTTAATGGATGGAAAATTCACAAAAACTGATGAAAAGTCCAAGTTTGAAGTTAAAGCTATAAGTAACAAGGAAAGGCAAGAAGAAATGGAAAGAAAAAGTAGTAGCAAGTACAGAGGTTACAAAACAAGTTCCAAACACAGCAACAGTTCATCTAAAGATAAGAATAAAAATACTTCGAAACCAAAAAAGCTCAGGGAGGATTTGAAGGATGGAAAAGATAAAGATCGAAGTAAAGATAAAGAGAAGGCAAAAGATAAATCACAGAGGGACAGAGAAGGAAAAGACAAAGAAAGTAAGGATAAAAGTGAAAAAGACAAAAGTAGAATTTATGTTAGTAGTAGACATAAGGAAAAATCACATTCATCAAGGAAAGATGGTGAAAACCAAGGGAAAACCTCCAGTACCTCAAATAAAGGCAAGAAGGTTTCAATTAAAGAGTTGGAAAGCGGTGACAAAAATTCATTATCTAGAAGTAATGATTCAAATTTGAAAATTAGTGAAGGATCTGCAAGTGATAAAGATAAGAATGGTAAAAATAAAAACTCATCCTCGAGAGATAAGAACTTGTCTTCTAAAGAAAAAACCAAGGAAAAAATGACAACAAAAGAAAGAGACACCAAATCTAAGGAGTCAATCAAGAAAGATAAAGATGGTTCAAGTAAAAGCAAAGACATATTAAATATGGAACAGAATAGAATTGACAAAAGTAAATCCAGCAAGGATAAAACATCTTCAAAAGATAGGGAACTAGGAAAAGATAAAGTTAAAGATAATGATACTAGATCTACAGAGAAAATAAAAGATAAATGTAAGGAAAGTAAGTCAACAGATGGTAAAGTTAAAAACAGTGAAAAGTCTAGGAAAATTGTAAAAGAGAAGTCATCATCGGGCACTAACCATAAAAATTCACCATCTAAAAAAGACAAAGACAAGAAGCCAAAAGATGATCATTACAGCTCCAAAGAAAAGAAGAATGACAGACGATCAACTGATAGAGATTCAAATGATGGTTCAGGAAAAATGGGCAGAAATAGTTCATTTGCTGAAAGTAATAGTACAACTTACAAAGCAGATAGTAAAAATTCTTCATTGTTTCTTAGTAGTGGAAGTGGAGATTCAAGTAATTCTGACCAAGTTGAGGCAGTGTCAAGTAGCAGTAAACATGTTTACAATAAGGTAAGTGACAAGAAGTTTTAGTTTATTTCCATATCAAAATAAATTTTTTAGGTTGAGCCTGTAAAGTACTTTAAGCCAAAATTTGCATCAAACATACGTGAAGCAATGCATTTAATGAAAATTCGTAAACAGTTGGCAGAATTAGAAAGAACTAATCAACTGGCTTTGCTAACAATCAATCAAAGCAATATCTCTAGTGATAAGCCAGATGACAAGATCGAAGGACCAGGTGAGGCCTTTTTCAACTATTATCTTTAATGTTTGATGAAAAGCAAAGTAGTGAGGAGGAAGTGATAAAAAAAACCTATTTTCCAGTGGCAATATCTCCTGATCCTATTGCTTCCTCAAGCCCCATGGGTACAAAATATTCAATAGAAATTACACAATGGACTATAAACTTTACTTAGAGTAATTGTACATAAGTTTATTAAAAAGTTCATAATATGATAAGCTCAAACCAGCAACCTAATTCAGACAAGAATATTTTCTCAATCGTCGAATTTAAACCAGTCATTTTGTTTTGTTTTGAATATATCTAAATACAATAAATACAATAAATTCAATTAGGAATCCATGATGTCACAGAAGAAGTAGTTTTAGCCAAGGCAAATGATTTGTGACCAAGCTTCTGGGGGCTAAGTGGGTTTTTATTTACTTGCGGCTGCTTTTTGCTTTTGGTTGTGGCATTGAATATATTAATTATATATTCATTCATTCATTTCGTTAGGAATAAATGTTTAGTAATTAAAAAAAGTAAGATAGCTTTCCCCGCAATTAATCAGTTGTCATTTTATTTGTTTGTTTTGGCATTTGAGGGTGCCTGAAAATTCCATTCAATTCAAACCTAGCCATTGGTGACGTCGATACTTTGAATAACATTGACCACATCAGAGAAATAATCAGTGATATAAACTCGCCTTATGTTCTCACTACATATATGTAGCGAAAATTATTTGCGGTTATAGTGGGGTTATACAGAGCAGAGTCAATGTTTAGGAAAAGTTTTATCTGCCAACTTGGAGTGGAACAAGTGCAACTACTTTGAATTTTAATTCTGTTAAGCATTTTATGTACAAACTCTTTTTGTGTATGTTCTTAAAAGATTGAAGTATGCAGGAATCAAACATTCAGTGTCCAGAATAAGATTAACGGTATGAAATAATTTTCCTAAATCCTCTTGTTGAACTTTTTAATAAGTTTATTTAAAACAAGAGTGTTCTAAAAACATCTTATAGTCTGGCTATTGGGCCACCAATCGCTGTCTAGCCAAGGTTATTTGCCTAGTTTTGGCTAGTTTGTTATTAATCCAACGCAACAAACTAAGCAATGTTTGGCTTTACTTTATAGAAACCCACATCAATAATTGTATTTTGCTTTCAACACTTCCTACCTACAGCCAAGAGGTTGAATCAGAATGTATATTAATTGGTTGTTAGTTATTAAATATTGATGCAAATATGGATTTCAGTTTTTTTTTATTACACATGTAATTTATGAAATAAACTTTCTATTTCTTGTAAGGAAAATTTCTGTTTTTTACACTTGTAAAACATAAAGTGTGTGTTACTGTATAAAAAAAGATGCAAAATTTGTAGATGATATGGAACTTAACCAAGATATAAAAGAAGTTGGCAACGAACCACTATTACAAAGTACAGAATTGACTAAAGAACGCTGGGAGGAGTTAGAGGCTAGACTAGCTTTAGAAATGTCCAATGTAATATCCAGTGTTTATGAAGCTGAAGGAGAAGAAGATAACCAAGTGTATGACACAGTAGTAGTAAGTCCAAAGAAAATGCATAAGGGATCCGAAACCAAGCACTTGTGTTCTCTGGAAGATGACAAAAATAATTCTTTTGCATTAACTGACGACACGAGCGAGATGGTTGTTAACATTAAAACAATCTCAATAGATGGCACCTCAGTAGAAGGAAAGGAGAATGGTGGTAGCGCTAAAGTGCACATCAGCAATGCAGATGATATAAAAGATTTTAAGGAAAATTTGTCCTCCAAATGTGATGTAAATAGTAAGATTTTGTTTGTAAAGATTGATAAAATTGGTGAAGCCTCTATCATATCTGATTCTCAACTTGAAGATCATGAAGAGATGGAAAGGAAGATTTTAATGGCAGCTAAAGATTTTATAAGTCTATCTAATGGACATAATAATGGTCAATTGCTTGTAAAAAATTCAAATGAAATCAGAAAATGGGAGGATGATGATAGTCCATGTTTGTACTTTAAACCAAGTATTGCGTCCCAGAAACAATTGCAGAAGTTGAATGGATTAATAACAAAATTAGAGAAATCAATTCAGGAAGAATCATTAAAGATTCAGAATAATATACCTAGAATTAGAAGGGTAAGTGTGAAGTGAATATTGCAAAATACAATTGCAATTATTTATAAACATATAGAGAAAAACAAGATAGAGAATAAAGATCCCAGGAACACTAAAAAGTACAATTTATATACATTCATTGCTATTAATGTTATAAAAAGCAGACACTTAAATTAGTAAAAAGGTGAATAAGCAGTAAAAACTTTTTTGCCCAGTTAATTATAAGTAGCCGTTCTTTACAACCAATGTACAGATCACTCTGAACATCATCACTGCTGTAACATTCTGACCAATGCTCTTTCCAATTTTCCTTCTTTTACTTTACTTTCCTAAGTAATTTTGTAATCTTTTGTGTTACTGAGGAAAAAAGTAGTAATACTAGTAAAAGACAATTATTTACACACTTAAGTTTAAAATATGGATTAGAAAAAAGAGTCTTCTTTTTGAGAAATATGTTGAGATTTACTATTCAACAGATTAGTTTTTCTTGTAATCGTCTATTTTCCTTAGGGTGACAGGAAGAGAAAGACAGAAAATATTACAAATAACAACAAACTGAACAATGCTCTTAATTTAGGTAATTATGTATACTAATTTGTTTATAACAATTGTTTTAAAAAAGTATGTTTTAGATGTTAAAAGAAGACGCTTTAATTCTATAGAAGTTAAAAAGCATAAATTGAATGAACGTCAAAATGGTGAGACTTTATTTCAATTTGTTCCATTAGGTTAATACTAAACAGTTAGTTTTTGGCCCATAAAAAAATAATTGGTCAAAAAATTCAAGTTTTCTTCATATTCACAAAATGGGCTTCCTATCATGTGTGTCATTTTTTACTTTACTCATATTTCTGATTTTTGGTTAGGTTAGTAGATTTGTTTATATTAACATATTTTTTTAATCACACACAGGACTGACTTTTCTTGTAGATGGAACACAGGATCATAAATTTTGTTTACCATTAAGTCCCGATGATAGTGACATAGACATTAAGAAAGAGGAACCAGTCACTGTCAAAACCAAAAAGGGATACAGAAGAAGTAAGTATTTTTTTTTAATACTTTCGTGGTTTTGAAATTTACATTAAATGTTAATTTCTTCTCTCATGCAGCTTTCGATAACAAAAGATATAATAATGAAGATCTTTACAAACCGAGACCCATTCTAACACGCACTAGAAGAGGCCAAGGTGCAAGAAATGATAGTTCATAAATTTACTTGTATATAAGAATAAAATATTTATATTTTTTATAAATGTTAATAAAGTAAAAGATTATGCTTTTGTATTTTTTTCCTAATCTCATCCTTTAGTGAGGCTTGAACACAGTGATATAACAAAGAAATAAAATGTAATGGAAAAGTAAAACTTCATTCGAGAATTTGCGCAGTCAGAATAAGGTAGGGTTTTATAGAACAATTTGGTACCTGTTTTTTTTTTAATTGTTTAGTTTTATACTATTGAGTAGTTTGTATTTTTGTTTTTTTTTTTTACTTTCATCTGCTATTAGATAATATAGGAGTTATTATCAATACGGTAAAATTGTTGCACTTCAGGCAGCATTTGGCTGTATGTAACAATTACAACAGAGACAAGATCTACACAACCTACATAAAACGATTAAGAAATTTACTGGCACGGTCAGAAAACGAGTCCTACCTCCTTATAGACAATAATGGGAAGGGTACATTAAAAACTTGTTTGATCACAGAACAACGATTCTGAAAGAAGAGGTAAAACGTGCAACATTTGGACTCTATAACAGCATTATTCAAAAGAATATACATAACGGGGATCATACCAATGGAATGGCTAGAATCGACCTTTGTTCCAATACCCAAAAAAGGATTCTTGAAAGTTATACACCGCAGAGTATTTCAGAAACTCGAAGATAACTTTGGATACCCAGTTCAGTTTTAGAAACAGATACAGTACTCGGGGCGCATTATTTGCGTACAATATCTTCATACAACGCTGTTTCGATGTCAATCAGGAAGTTTACGCCTGCTTCATAGATTACAACAAGGTGTTTGATAAAGTTAGTATAAGTGCTAAAGTAGAAAAACTTGGACTCGCGAGACATCAGGATCCTTGTCAACCTTTGCTTTTATCAGAAGGCAACAGTACGAGTGCAAGAAATGATGACTGACCTTGTAGAAGTCAAACGGGGTGTAAGGCAAGGCGTGTCCTCTCGCCGCTTTTATTCAACATCTACTCTGAAGAAACATTCACCAGACCCCTTGAATGCGATTCGGGAGGTATTAGAGTAAATAGCAAGATAATTAATAACTTGCGCTAACTGCTAAATAAAGTTGTCACTGCCAGTCGACACCTTGGCTTGACGCTCCACACAAAGAAGACGAAGTACATGGTCATAAGAAAAAACAACGCCCTGCAAGAACACCTTTACGTAGACGGAAAACAATTAGAGCAACCCATTTGGGGCAGCACACACAACATTTTTGCATCGTGTGTACGCCACGAATATGTCAAACAGTACATGTGTCACTTAGTATTTGTTGTGCAGCAAAGACGCAGAACTTAAATTTGCTAAGAAATTTTGCATAACAAAAATTATAAGTATTGTCAAAGCCATGACCAGGTCCGTAGTTCCCGCAGGTATAGCTCTCAATAAAAAGTCGCTTTACAAAACTAACTTTATTGGCTACTCAACTAAAGGGACCTGAAACGAGACGGATCTTTTAGGGTAGGCGTCGGGGCCCATGGAAGAGACGACTATACAGGGTTGTTGGGGGCCTGAGGGCGGACCAGCTAATATTGACGGGAGTCCGATGGCAAGCTAGGGGCCAAATGAATCAAACTGTACCCGCCTTCCGAGGTTGTTATCATGGATCGTTTGGATGCGGCTTCTTTAAATAGCCGAAAACGTTGACTAAGTGTTTGTATGGCAACGCAGGACCTAGTTAATAATTATCCGCTCGTTTATAATACACCAAATATAATTATAAATCCTGTTTGATATTTCTAGTCAACTGTGTGCTGTACATTCGTTTTTCGTACATTATTATTTAAAGGTTTTTTTTTTTCGGTTGATTTATAAGTTATAGTTAGAGATGTGTCAATCGCGATTGATTCGGTCACTTTGATCCAATCTCTGCATAGGATCGAACGACCGAATCCCGCTTGTTCGTAACGATTCGATCACCTTGTCCGCTATCGCTGCCGCTCTGACCGGTCTGAAGTGACCGAATACAGGTTTAAGATTTAATTGCATGACCGAGACAGACCACGAAAAAGGAATGGAAGTATTGTTATAATTATTCTATAGTATTGAATTGCGAGATCGATCCGTAGATTTGCTTATATGTTGAATTAATATGGAATGAAATATCTATACACAGGTATTTAATTTAAACAACTTAATATATTACTGGTGCAGCCCAATACGTAGCACCTATTTTAATAAAATCATGATATAATAAAAAGCACAACACAGCTAAATATTATACTAACTAAAACAGCAAACAGAACATATAGACATAATAATTCAACTGAATCTGAATCGGTCGTTCGGACTGTTCGGATTCAGTGACTATCGCCGCTTATGGTGGCAACAAAAGTATTAAAATGAACGAACGATTGATTGAAATGATTCGGTCCTTTTCGAAATCGGTCACTGATTGATTCCGTCTTCATAAAATGAACGATTACCACAACACTAGTTATAGGCTGAATGGTAGGGGAGACAAAAAACTGAAATATGTTTTATGGCAAAATCAATTTTTTTCTATATCTTCTTATAGTATCTTCCATCTCAATCTAACAATGTTGTAATGATTCTAGTAGAAAACTTCGCAAAATTTGTAGCCTTTCGGACAAATCGTGATTTAGAAATAGAAACTGACGCATTCACAATAGGTTGGCGAGCGACTGAAAATAGGATTATATTAATAAAACTTATATTATGACCGTAACTATTTGGAACTTCAACGTGTCTTGCTAAGTTTATGAAATCTAGTAATATTTTATTACGAGTATAGAGAACACCAAGTTATGTCCCACATTAATCGTACTTGTAGTTACACGCAGTATATATCTCAATATCAGAATAATTTTGTGGCACATGAGCAGTTCCGATTGTTAGCGTCACAGACAGAATTTGAATTAATGAATGAATGAACGGCATATGTTTCTTCTGGGGTAATATTTTCTTCTACGCCTTTCAAAGTTTTTTTCAAATATTTCGATTTGTTAACAACAGAATTAAGTAAATATTATTGGCTCCTAACTGAGAGACCCACAACCGATAACTATTTCAAAAATATTTAGTTGGAATTTCCTTTTTCTATCAATAAGAAGCATAGCAATAAATGCATTTTAGTCAGCTTAACTTTCTGTGTAGATTTTTAGTAATTTATTAAAACATCTGCAAAGTGATTTTGAAAGACGAGGTGCCGAAATATAGTATAGATAATTAGACGGACATTACACGGAATTATACGAAGCACCTGCTCCGAAGAGATCATTCCAACCTCTTCAAAATTTGGTATTTTTGAACTCTCCTGTTTTCTTCTTTTTTAAAATATGTGGCCAAAATAGTGCAAGGATAACACTACCAAGTGATCTCTCTCATATATTTCTGTTACAATTTACTAATAAAATTCCCGGTTTTGGTTATGTTATGATCTTGTATCTAACCTTATTCCTGAATTGTTTGTGTTTCGATTTAGCGCGCGATCTTATTTTCTCATTGCAAAATGAGTCTTCACACAGATTTGGATGAAGCCCATTCTCTTTTGAATTGTAATAGAATTACTGACCGTAAAAAGGCACTGGAAAAAATTATGGACCTTTTAAATAATGATCAAATAGTCAGTGATATTAATAAAGGAAATCCATTTACTTGGAGTGCTTTACTAGAATCCACCCAACATTGTATGAGAAAGGTATTGCTTTCTTTTTGATTTTATATGCAGGATAAGACTCTGGGATTGCATGTTTTTAGGAATGTGATAGGATTGCGGAAAACAGTGTTAAAAAGGGCTCATCAAAAACAACAGAAAAAAGTTTTCAATTATGTTGTGAACTTTTTGCTCTAATTGTGAAATTGAGTATTAAACAAGGTATGCAATTTCATTTCAGTTTCATTTTGTCTATCCTTATTTCTCTTTTCAGCAAATGAAAATATTAATATATCAAAGTTGATTAGATATATTGATGGTAGCTTAAAGGAGAAGCGAATGCAAATATATAAAAATTGTTTTGTATCAACATTGAAAGATTATATTTTATCTGATTCGAAATGTCTTGATTATTTTGATGCAGAAGATTTTGTTTGTAAGTTAACTTTCATTGAATGCTTTCTTGACAAATTATGTTGGCTACTTTCTTCAAAAAAAGAAAACAATTTGCAAAACCCATTTTATTGTCCATAGTTTTGATTAGTTAACAGTTGCATTTAATTAAGTGAATAGATTGAATTCAATAGCCATCTTTATTTTTTATGTTTACAGTGTTGTTTAGTTTGTTTAAAACATTATTTCAAGAGATTAGCAATGAACAATTTGACTATATCACAATCTGTAGATGTTTGGTTTTATTAATAAATAAGGGGCCATTGTCTGGTTTGCCATCGTCATATTTACGAGAACAATTTCCATTTATATCAAAATTATGTCAATCAGTGAGTCATAATTCTCCTCGGTCTCAACAAGAACACGCTGTGGAATTACTGTTAGATTTTTGTAATCATGTAAGTCTGAAATTCTGTAAATTTTGTTTATGAGTTAAGGTAAATGTTCATTTATTTTTTGCAGACTGTAGAAGACAACCGTATGTCTTGTATAAAGTTAGGGGAAGATGTATTAGCAAGCCTTGTTGATTTATATGATGTTAGTAGGCATGATTCACAATTGAAAGTAAGCTAGATGTTGAATTTTAGATGATTTGGAATAAATTTTCTGTTTTTTTAGGTAAATTTTATAGAATTCTGCCTTCTACAACTTATAATACACAACCCCAATGGTGTTACTGAAGAACATTCTTATGCTTATGCTCATAACTGGCACAACTGGAAGGCCTGCATTAGAAGTATATATTTCATATTGAATAAGGAAATATCAGATTTTTTAAGAAATTGTGTTAAGAACACCCTATTTTTTATACCTCAAGGAAATGGAAAAACCATTATATTAGACAGTTTTGTTTCCTTGTTTGTTGAAGTTGCAAACCAGGTATGCCAACCTCTGAAGAAATAAATTGAAAGGGTGTTTTTGTAATTATTTGTTATATTCAGTGTCCCACCAATAAATTTTGTTTTCAAATTAAAGGGCATAGATACCCCAGATATTTATATAATTGATTCTTTGCTATATTTTATACAACCACTGAGGTCTTTTATAAATGTGAGATCTGTAGTTTTTCTAACAAAAAAGAAATACTTGTCCCATCTCTCAATTCTCATTTCGGTTTTGTCTATAATAAGGCATTGAATGTTCCTTTAATTATATAACAAGTATAGTAAATATGAGTCAACGGTTTTCATAATTGTATGCAAGTTTTTTGAAATGAAAAGTGTGTTGATATATGAATGAGAGAACAAAAAGTCCCACAAATCACTTATTACTTCTTTTGATTTGAAGTTAGGTAATAAGAGAGGTGATATTACATACACCATCTTTATAAACAAAAAACCATGTTAAGAATTGAATTTTAATAAAATCTAAATCAATATCTCTCAAGAGAACAAGCTTGGTTAAATAGTCAGACATGGACAAAAAACAAGAACATTTTAGTAATAATGTCTACCTTTTATCCTGCAGAAGTTGTTACTAAACACTACCCTCAGTATTTCCACAATATTTTATTGTTCTATCTATTTTCGTTTTCAACATCAAGAATAAAAACCTTATTTTGCCGCCTAATGGGTGATTTTTGAACAAACATTTATAAACAACTACACAAGTATTACAACAAACTAGCCTCTATTTTAAACAAGGAATCACCCCCTTAACTTTTTCGCATTTGTTTTGAAACACCCTGGTTATTAAATGATAATTCAGGTTTATGGTTGTCCAAATGTTGTCCATAAATTTGGAACCAAATTATACCAAATGCCAGAATTGAAAAACTGCTATTTTTTTTAGATAATTAAGGACCATGATCTAGCCAATTGCTCTAGTTTGGTTAGCCCAGAAACATCACAGTTGCACAAAAGGAAAAAAGTTGAAGCCAGTCTAGACTCCTTCATACAAGAAATTCAGGAGACCAAAAGTTGGGTTTGGTGAGTTTGTTTAATATTATGTTCATGCTGGCAAAGTTACTAATAAATCAACAAAGTATTTTTGAGTGTGCAAGTTGTCACTGTAGCAGTTAGTAGCCAGACTTCACTGCTGTATGTGACTATGCTTTTAATGATCGTATTGTGTATTGGGTGTTTGTTTCGTCTCATGAATTTTTGGTCCCACAAGAAGGTGTTCAGCATAGTAATGGCCTTTCTACCTTGATTATTTCGTTCTTTGATGGCGTAGTCTAACGTCCCACTGCTGGATATGTTTATTCCCAAGTATTTGTCGGTTTCGCAGCTTTTGATAGCCTGACCGTCCTCTAACAGGAGGTCGCGTTGTGCTCCACCGATGCACATATACCTTTGTCTTTGGTAAATTTACTTCCAACCCCCATTTCTTCTATTCTTCGATTAGTTTTCGCGTCATGTATTCTATGTCATCGTAGTCTTGCTCCATTATGACTTGGTCATCTGCGAAGCTTTGGGTGTATATGTTTGTATTGTTAAGGATACAGAACACCCTTGTTTGAGTCCCTTGTTGGGCGTAAATCCATTGGGCATTTTTTGGCTGACCTTAACTAATGTGGCTGTTTCTATATAGTTCTTTCACTGATCTTATTATGTTGACGCTTAGGTTTGTCTGGTCTAATGCCTCCCAAAGTTTTGTTAGCGGTATGCTATCGTATGCCTTCTTCAGATCCACGAACAGGAGATGTATCTCCTTATTGAAGGCTGTCATTTTCTCGATAAGCTGGGCGACGCAAAATAGATGATCAACGACTGATCTTCCCGTGCGAAAGCCCGCTTGTTCTTCTGCTTCACTGTTTGCGTATTCGCGTTCTATTTTGGCCTTTAATATTTAACCGTAAATCCGACCGATTGAGCTCGTCACTGCAATACCTCGATAGTTGTCGCAGTTTCCCTTGTTGCCCTTTTTGTGGATAGGGGTAAGGAAGGATAATTTCCATTCTTCTGGGATATCTCCGCCTTTGATACAATTTTCAAAGAGCTTTGCTAGATCTTCATACAGTTTGTGCGTTCCATGTTTGATTAATTCTGCGGGAACATTACTTGAGCAAATTATGGTCGCTGCCACATGTTGCACTTCTAAGCACTCTAACGTCATACGTCCTCATCGATGTAGTTTGTCGGACAATCGTATAATCTATGATTGATCGTAGATTTCTTGACTTTTGTTCCCATGTATACCTATGGATCATTGGGTGCTTGAAGAATCCATTCTTTATTCTAAGTTCGTTTTGTTCGCACAGTTGGATTAATCTGCGGCCGTTGTCGTTTGTCACATTCTCGCCGAATCTACCCACCACTTTATCGCCTAGTTTGGATACGGTTCTTCCGTTCCGTTCCGCTGTTCGAAGAACTCGTCTTTTTTGTTCACTGGGGCATCGTCGTTGTTCATTTTGATAGTGCGTTTACTCATGGCTTCCCATGATGTTATAAATCTTCTCAACTTTTTTGCAACCAGAATAGACACTCCTTGTTGTGCTCTCTTGTCTTTGGCCACGCCACTATAGAAATGATCGTAGTGTCGCAGATTTTTGGAGCCTTGTCCTTTCTTCTTAGTTTCCGTTACTACTGCCACCTGTATTTCTAGCCTCTGGAGTTCTTAAATTACTTCGTTTGTTTTGTTGGAGATTCCTTGGACATTCCATGTACCAAAATTGATCGTCGTAAGGGTTTCCGTCCTTTCCGAGGCTGTCGATTGGGTTTTTTAACAGACTTAAGTTTTTACAAGTAACGGGGAGTTGGCCCGATGTCTCAACCCCCTACCAGGAGGACCAGGTGGTTTGTGCTCAAGGTTGTCTTCCTCTAGCCTTTGATGAACCATCATCCCACTACAAGCCAGTAGTTTCTTCGCCGTATCCTGACAGGAGCCCTTACATCCGGGCCAGATGAACCCTGTTTTTTTAACGAGGTTGTTACTCCTCCCCTCCTCCTTGCCCAGAAGTGCAATGGAACCCCAGGCTTGGGATTGGCATAGCGGAGTTGTCGTATAAATAACAATGGTAAATAGGGCCAGACGCGAATATATGGAAATACCCAGCGAAAATAGGTGCATAGAGTTACTTTATCACGTGAGATTCTTGTCCTACGGATCCGAGCCACTTTGAACATTTCCGAGATATTCCGTAAGGGTTTGGGGGCAATCAATGTTTTCGGAAGTTTTACCGCACGGCTTGAATTTTGACATTTGTCAATTCTGACGGTCATGTCAGTTAATGCATTCGTGTATTCGGGTGTAGAAAAAATACCTAATTATACTCTGATCTAGCGTGCGGCAAACGTCACTTTACTATGTGAGTTTCTTGTCCTATGGGTCCGAGTCACTTCGGACATTTCTGAGATTGGCTTTGGGAGCAATCGGATATTTTCGGAGATATCACCTCACGGCTTGAATTTTGCAAAAATGTACCCAAAAACTAACTGTCGTAGAAAAAGTATAGTATGCAACACGTTTGGTAAACTTTTTAAGTCGTTTGTTTATCAAACAGTCGCTCCGCTGGGCTCCGCTCGTGTCAAATAAACTCGTGACTCAAATGCAGTTTACCGCACTTATATATACTATTTCAGATAGCATCTTTGAGTGCAAATGTAAGTTGGCCATGGAAATCTAAATTTGTCATGCAAATGTAATTTAAAACCTTTCAATTTCATATTAGGTTTTTCAATTAATTTGTTGTTAGTTGCTTAACTTGCAACTCAACCATGAATTTTTTTATGGAAGCAGTGGTCGACATCATTTTCATACTGGGATCTAGCGAAAACAATACATTATTAACTATGAGAGTGTACAAGCAACAAGACCCTGAGAGATGATTTTTTCGAATATGTGTTATTTACCGGTGAATCGACATTCCATAAAAACGGTTGTGCCAATAGGCATAATTTTTACTATTATGCTAAAAATAGACCACATTTTAGGATGACACACAGTCCGCAAAAATGGTCTTTAAATTTTGTAAATATTGTGAAAATACAGACATTTTAGAGGTTGCAAAATATGTTAAGAACTATTCCAAACAAAATGAGACAGAGAATGTGGTTCCTTCATGATGGGTGGATAGGAAGAGGTGATTCAATTAGATGGTCACCTAGATGTCTTGATCTAACAAAGATGGACTATTTTTTCATATTTTAAAAAAACCAGGTACATAATCCGGGAATGCATGACTTTGAGACACTTCCCAGCGCGATGTTATGTATGAGTTCTTGTCTTTCATTGGGATTACGTTATGAGTTACTATGTCTTTACTGGTTTGGTCCATCTTGTTTTTCATAACTCACCATAACTCATCTGCTGTTGAATTCAATATGAACTATTAGGTGAATGTGATTTTTTTATGGTGTATTTTCAATTTAGGACTGATTTCTACTATTAAGGCGTCGTGATCGCTCCCACAGTCGATTGCTGAATAGGTCTTCACATCTTATCGATATTTTTCATATTCAACTCACCAATATATAATCGATTTGGTTCTTTGTAAGACCAGCTCGCCTTCCAAACCATATCCACCACTTTGGCGTTAAAGTCTCCAGCTATACCTAGTATTTCTCTATTGGGCAGCCCAGAAATCTCACCTTTGTGCTTTTGTCAATAATTATTCCGACACTATTTATTGATTGTGGTCTATTGCTAGAGCGTATTATCATGTTATTGTTATTGGAGAAAAAGTGGTCATTATTACGCCAGGGCGTCTCGGCTAGGACCGTTATTGCGATCATTTTCCACTATCTGCAGTTTTCCAACCTTCTGCACTTTCAATTGCATACTCACTCTCAGTTGATTGAACTTATTCTTTTGTCTTCTTGTGCCAGTAGTCCATTTCACAACTGCAGTCTTGGAATTGAAGTAGCCATCCGATCCGAAGGCTGAGTTACATTTTTTCGTGGGACATATTTTCCACTGTAGGGTCTCGCTTCTTTCTGTAGGGCAATGAAATAGCCGGTGTAACCAAGATTGGATTGCCGCTGTGTATGTAATTCTGGCCTTTAGCGAAGGTATCCCTCAATTGCCCAGGTTTAATGTTGATGTAGCTGCCCTACATCAGGGAGGGGATATTAGGAAGGAAATAGTAGATTTGTTGAGTAGTTGGGGATCAGTTTTTTCTCAGTATGGAATTGGTGACAAACCAAAGCCTCGCGCAGGGAGAGGCTTTTTCCTGAAGTAGATCTGTCACCTTCAGGATAATAAATGAGTATCTACCTACTACCAACTGTGCACTATAGCTAATTTTAAATTAGTTAAGTTACAGTATTTTTCGCGCTGATCAAAGTGATTGCAATCTCTATTTTGTATAGTTTGCCTTGAAATTTCTATGCATGATTATTGTTCAAACTATAAATGTTTAAATGTGAGAGTCATTACCGCCATCTCAGGATCTTTGATTATTCTAACAATGCTGAAACAATACACGTATGGTTTCAAACGTAATATTAGGCTTTTATTAGTATGCATATAAATACATTGAGCCGGAAAGAGTTGCATTCAAACATTATATTTTAATATTTACAAGTTTTGGCGAACCAGACACAACTTCACCATATATTGAAAATTATTTGGCGGTCTCCATGACGTTTTTTGTAGGATCAAACTGGTAAGTTCTCTGATTGAAACATATCCAGATCTAATTGGAGGCAAGTCTTTCCTCAACTTGCTTCAATTACTACAATCTATGCAAGTTGATGACTCAAATACTATTGACTATGTGTACCAATGCCAAGCAGTGCTACTTGATGTTCAAGACTGCAAAATAAAGGACAAGAAAAGTGAAATTGATAATCTTTGGAAGCTGATTGGGGAATCCACTTTAAGGTATAAATAAAAACAATTCATTCACATTATTGTTATCATATTTTAATTTTTATTTTAGGGCCGTCGGTCTTAATCAAAACGTAACTGCTGCTCAAACTTTATTACAAAAAATTATCGAAAATGACCTATTGCATCTCGACAATGTAATAGAAACATATATTTCCAGTATATCAATAAATGAATTTAGCTTGTACACATTGGAACTGTTACTAAAGAAAATAGATTTTTCCGAGTTGGGAGTATCTAAGAAGAAGGATTTATTCAGGAGTCTTTTGACGTCTCAGACTTTATGCAGTTACAAGTGCTTTCTAAAACCAAATTTTGCAAACATCTTGGTTTCATTAATGTTGAAGCAGTGTCCCCTTGTTGATAGTGAATACAACTATAAGAAAAGCACTAAATATAAATCTTTAAAAGATTTGTATGCAAAAACCCACTTCGAGCAACTGGTTATTTTACAAAATAAGTGCCCCGTACTCAATAAAAGTGTTAAAAGATCATTCAACGTCGATTTCGAACTTTGCAACGACTCGATTGAATATTTAAATCTTTTTATTCAGAATTCTATGAATGAAACCCTTATCAAGTCGTTAAGTTTAATTTGCCTGCTTCACAACACCTTAAGCTACATGTTGGTGTATGGCTTACTAAACGAAAATGAACTCAAACATCATAAATTATTTAAGAATATAGGGCAAATTTTGAGTCAGGACTTTATAACTGCCTGTTTGATAAGATACAAGACGCACAACGAAAGGTTGTTAAAAGAGTTAGACGAATGTGTATATGTACTTACGGCTGTTTTTTCGACAAAGAATGCGTTGACGTTTACTATTAAGGAGCAATTTCCACTAGGATTTTTAAGATCATTGTTTGACATTTTCAATTTTTTGGAGGTTGGTGAGTATCAATATTTATTTCTAACGTTTTTGCTGTTTTTGAACAATTGAACAAAATAAATTATTTTCCATCAAATTTTCCCTTACAAGTTCGAGTTTTTAATAAGTTGAGAGTCACTTTTAGATTCAGCGAAAAAGGCTGAAATTCAACATAAAGTTAAAAGAAACTTGATCATAGCATTGTCAAATTATTGCTTCGTCTCAAATCTGGACACTTTGAGTGAATGTCAGCATAACCTTATGTCAGTATTAGCTACGCCGGACTATGATTATGTCAGTGACACCGAATTTGACTTGGTACAGGAGCTATGCGATTTTTGTGGACTGTTACTATTTTTGATTTCTTTTAGAGCATCACGTTTTTGCAATTCGTTACATTTGCGTATCCTGGTTCAATTCCAGAAGATATAATAGCCAAAATTTTAGATTGCGTTCAGGGAATGTGTAAGCTAAGATTCCGTTCATATAATGACTCCCTAAGGATACTTTCTGTTCTGAAAGGTATTCAGTATGAGAGCATGGGAGTTATTATTAACATAATTTACTCAAATTTCAGGACTGCACCCACACATTACTTCTCTAGAAAATGAATGTTTCAGGGAGGTAGCAGTCAACTTATTATATCCATTTTATGCGCGTTCCACATGTTATGGACCTCAAGTTTCTTTGTCATTATTGGAATGTATCGGGAGCTTGTGTAAGGTAAGTAGTCTATCAACTTTCGTTAGTTTCACCCAATTTCCAGATTCTGGAATTATATTTCATTCGCGTTTAAAAAATATATCATTTAATTATATACAGAGCGAATTAACCAAGATGCAGCGAATGGGCAAAATAATAATATTTACATTATTGCCTAGAATTTGATCAGCTTCTCAGATTTCTGTTTCTGTCCCAGCTTTCCATATTTTGTAGATAACTTAACAAATTAATTATTGTTGTCAATACGAAAAATGTAGAGGCTGTTAAAAAAAATATGCGTGATTAACTGAAATTATATTTATTTCACTTGAATTGATTTTTTTTTCATTTAAATTTAGTAGCAAATTTTTCAAAATTTCGTTTTCATTCTTTTAATGACGTTGTTGAAAAGTGGCAGTGTCATATTGATTAGAATTATTAAATGAAATATAATATGGAAATGGGAAATAAAAATGTAAGCCGCTGAATTTTTAAAAATTATATAACTAAATATAAATCTTTTAGGTTTCTTGACTTCTTTATAATTCGATTCGTTTTGTCGAAAAGAAAAATTGTTTCGGTGCACGTCTGTAACCAACCAACAAGACTAAAAAAAGTTAGCTTGACTTAAAGGTCCTTAGCTCATTACTAGGATAGCAAAGCCGCGCACTAGCAGCTTTTTTATCGAACAACATGAAATTTTTGTTACGCGTACTAGCTGTGTTATTACTATGGATTTAGATAAAGTGATCACTTATTGCGTTTATTTAAAAAAAGGAAAAAAAGCAAATCTATAGTTGCTCGTCAAGGAATTTCAAGTGCGTGGAATGTTGTTTTAATTTCGGCATAAATACGTACAAGTCTTTTAATTTCCCTAACATGTGAAAGCATCGCTGTGGAGAGAGAAACAACAAATAATCCATCAGGAAACTTGTGTTACAATATGTAAGCAACAACTTTTTAGTTGCTATAAACTTTGTAATAAACATTATGGTGTTTTTGTCCATTATGTTTAACAATAGTATATTATGCAAAAAGTGCGGTAAACGACATTTGACACTAGCGGAGCAGAAGGGGGCTAGTGTTTAATAAAAGAGTGATTTAAAAAGTTTACCGAACGTGTTGCATACCATACTTTTTCTACGACCGGTATTTTTTGGGTACTTTTTTGCAAAACAACACGAATACATTCACTGGCATGGCCGCCAGAATTGACAAACGTCCGATTGCTTCCAAACCTGTGCGGTAAAATCGTGGAAATGTCCGAAGTGGCTCGGATCCATGGGGAACGAGACTGACGTGGTAAAGTGAAGTTTCCCGCACGCTAGATCGGTGTATAATTAGGTATTTTACAGACACAGGAGTAGAAAAATATTATTAATTGTGCATTCGAATCGCTTTGAAAAAATGGTTTTTCTCCTCCCTATCCTAAAATAGCTCATTAACTCACTCGTTTATTAAAAACTCGCTCCGCTCATGTCAAATAAACTTGTTAGTCAAATGACGTTTACCGCACTTGTTGCATAATATACTATTTATAAACTACTGTGCGGTATTTTGGCCAAATGCGTTACAGAAAAAGCATAGTATGCATTACGTTTATCAACTTCTTGACTTACTGATTTATTAAACATTCGTTCCGCTTCGCCCCGTGCAAGCCTGAACAAATTGTGATTAAATTTTCGTTTATCAAATTTGCATAATATACTATTGTAATCTTCATTTGGGTTCAGACTTAATGACTGTGCAACAGAAGTTTTGTAACTTGCTTGCTCTGATGTTTGCATGAACAAAATGATTCTTATTTTTTCCTACAAAAACGAATTCCTATTTGGAATAGTATTGGCGACAAATCCCCACCGGGTACGGAAATCGTTGTCTACTTGGGGCTGAAGGAATTCCTTATTAGTACAAAATAACACTGCCAAATAAAATAACTTAAAAAAAAACTTTGAAAAACTAAATCTTAGGACACGTGTTTCTATGAACTTTCTACAGGGGTGCATAAGTTTTCTTGCGGTTTGTCTATCAGGCTACCTTTCTTGGAAACCCTCTTCAATACCTCCATAATCGCGATCAAACTAATAAAATTTTTTCAACAAAAACATACGCTGTTATAAAGAAAACCTGACTCGAAAGTTTTGTTTGTTGACGCGTGTTCTGTTTACAAGATTGCCAGGTGCCTTATACCCTCGATATTTGAATACCTTGCATCTCTCAAAGTTAGCACATACGTTTATGAAACACCAAGTACAATTAACTGAAGATACTATTTTTGAAAATTAAATAGTTTAAATTAAATAATGTTTAGCTTTTGTGGTTTCGTAACCAATATGTTTTTATAAATTGATACTGTTTGGACTTTGTCTAGAAAAAAATAATAATTTTCTTTCTATGTTATGTTTCTTTTTATGTTATCGATCGCGAATTACATGTTTTTTAAATATCTTCATCCTTTTATTTTTCAAATAAGCTAATACAGGCTACTGTAATACTGTTTAGAAAACTTCTGTCGGTGTAAGTATGTTTCATCTTCAACGACCTGTATCTACAAACATTTGTGACCACATCGATTGCAGATCTTGTTTTGTTGTTGTTGTTGTTGTTTTGATTTATAGTACCACTTGCTACCGATTCAATTACTAATACAAATTTACATAGGTGGGTGTGGGATCCAAATTGCCTACATGGGAGAACATCGAAATAATTAGAAAAGTGCCAGAATTTTTGATTAGTGAGTACCAATGTGTAAGATTCAAGGCAATAGAAACAATAGTAGAATTCTTTAAATCTACGTCAAAGAGCACCAATTTAGAAGATTTTCATCGACAAGAAGAAATATTTGCAGAATTGTATGACATGGTAAACTGGCAGCGGAATTTTGACAATGGCTTAATGATATTCTTGTAGAGTATCAAGGTGTTTAACGTCGAAGGAAATTTTAGTAATGAACGTAGGTCGGATGAAATAATATGTCGATCCGCTAGTGCATTGCACACTTTTCTTGCATTGATGATTACCTGCAACAGTTGGTTAGAAGAATCCCTCCTGGCCATCATAAAATTGGAACACCATAAAAAATTAGGTATTTATGTTTACTTTAGCATTCACCTTTTAATATTTTTTCGAAAATCTTGTTTATAGGCGCATTTGAGAAAATATTTCCAATTATAAGCCATTTATTTTCCGCTGATGGCTGCATGGAAAAGTTCTTGGAGAATATAATTTCAAAATGGATATCCGCCGGATATCATATCAACGAATTTCAGTTTAAATTTTTTAATTGTCAAGATAAGTTTGAGCTATATACTAGATACTTTGATGTATGTCTGCCAATTTTGTTAACGCATGATCGAAATGATTTATTTAAAGCAGCAAAGGGATTTAACATGTCAGAAAAGGATGTTTTTCAGGTTTGTTTTTCCCTAACAGGTTTTATGATCTAATAATTCTATAATACAGCTTTTTTGTTCACGTGTTATTGTGGTTGAGCAAGTGTTTGTGTTTTTACTAGACAGAATATTTAAAAATAGTTTATTTCTTTTTAGAAATTGGGTACCAAAATTTTTGCTATGGCCTTAGCAAAGGACTTTGAAAGCCTTGGAGAAGCTTTAATGCAAAAAAATATTGAGGTTTCCTATTTAAACCATGTTTTAGGCGATAATCTGAAAACTACAATAAGTGAAAATATTGATGAACTAATAATAAGTTTGTTACGATCCATCACTGACGAAAAACTTATTTACAAATGTTTAGGGGAAAACGTTTTATTTCTGTCTCATGGAATTTCATGTGATGTTTTTTTTGCTTGTTTAAGATTCATTGAGGTTAGTACCTAAATGCGTTCAGCTTGTGGACTTTGATTGCAGATTATTTTTTTAGATGTTTTTGTATAAAGGGACCAACATAATTAAATTCCTTTGTTCTGGACAACTCCACAAAATACAAAGAATTATCCTTGAGCTGCAATTAAACATTGACAGTGCTATTGCCGACCAGAAAATAAAAAATTTTCATAGATATACTGTTTTTGTGAGTTTATTGATGACAAATTTAAATGGTAACTCAAATTTTCTTGTCTATGTCCTGAGGGATACGATCTATTTCGTTATCCATTTAATAAAAAATAATATTGCCGAAGCAACACTGGGAAGCGCATGTATCAAGTATTTGAGCACATTTTTAAGAGGGGTGTTGCCGCTGTACGCAAAACATCTGGAAATTTTTTTAATGTTTGTTGTAAATTCTTTAAAAAATTTTGCACTAACGAATGCATATATCTCAAAGCAGTGTATAGATGTTTTGGAATTCCTTCTAATTGAAAATGCTGTTCCGTTAGTAAAAGCAATAGAAAAACTTGACGCTTTTCCTCAAACGGAAGAATTTAAAGGAATTAGATCAGTTCACAACAAAATTAAATATGGAAAGAAGGAAGTGACTTTAGAACACGAAATTAAATGCTTTTTGGAATATGATGATATGGCAACAAGGCAAGACAGTTTAGTTTACCTCAAAAGCGTGCTAGCAAAAGAGAAAGAGCAGTTAAAGACACTATTTGATAAGTTGGCCAACATCCAAGGATTTTCCGAACATTGTGAGAATAGTCTTTTGCATAAATTGGTTTCAGTATTAGTGAAAATGAGTTGCTTTCCAAACGAAAGTCTAAATTTTGAAGCTATTAAATGTCTAGGAGAATTAGGGCCGGCGAATTTGATGACTTTAGTTTTAAAGCCAGAAGAGCGAGTTAGAGATTTGGGATGTAGTGCTTTTCAACTCCTAACGGGATGCGTCGTTTACCTATTGAGTCAGTACCTTATAGATGCTGACGTTAAGGTTGTTAGTAGATCAAGCGACGCACTCTATCAGGTGTTGAAATACAAAGAAGGAAAGAAAGTTGTTGGTAAGTACTACAGTAGTAATAATTTCAACTTAATCTTTATTTGGTTTACTGGCCGTTGTTCCCTATTTTTGTTAAAACAAAAAGTGATGAATGAATAAACATTTTCTATAAGGCACCTTGTAGGAAGTAAATTCGTATTTACCAAAGGTTTTTAGTAAGGCTGCAAAATACTCTTTTGATGATTTTTTATAATTACCTTCCGTCCATGAATGTGGTGTTTTTTTATGTGTGTTAATCCCACGTCTTTTAGTAGATTTAGGTTATTAGGTGCTTATCACACCAATATTCGCGCAAAGGATAACCTTATTTTAATTTTCCGCTTTTTCAGGTTGTTATCAGGTTGCAGACCGTTTCAGTTTGGCTTAGGACATACTAAAAGTTCTTACCGTTTTTACTGGTATGACTTGGTCGTTTTTAAATTTATGTTTATTTATAATATTTTAAAATTATCTATAAGATATAATGAAATGAAATGTAATGAAGCAGGATAAAAAAAATCTGCAATTCAGCAAAGATTAATACTATTTACAAAACTTGCGGATGTTTCGCCAATCATCCTGTTGGCTTCTTCAGAGCTTGACCGAAACTGGCTCGCATTTTACTCTGTACCTGCTTATATATCGTTTGTGGGGGCGGAAGTAAATTAAACATTGTCTCAGATGACCCATTCCCATATTGATGACAGGTGAAGACCTGAGTCGCAGTTAAGATTGTTAGGTTGCTTATAAATTTCTACAGACTCTCAGATTGTTGGTTGGTAGAAGAATTGATTACATGCAAGTGTTGTAGAATAAAATTTTATGTCCGGTTTCGTGATTGTGTTCGGCAACTGCTGATGAGTATTTGTCTTAGTCTTAAGGCTCTTTCATGTTCTTTGAGTCTAGTTGATATTTTTCGTCCGGTCCCTCCAATGTATTCTTTGCGCCATATGTGTGAAATGCAATAAACTCCTGGCATCTCAAATGGAATTTTGTCTTTAACGGATCGGAAATGTTGAGAGATTTTTGGACAAGTGGTAAATCTGGTTTTGATGTTATATTTCTTTAGAACTTTTGATATGAAAATATGAAATTATTAGAGAGAAGAGCAGCGGTAAGGTGTTTTAATTCTTGTTTTAATGACTCGGGCTGGGATAGTTTTACGACTCTGTAAACGAGAGATTTAATAACAGATGATTTTTGGACCGGATGTTGATGAGACAATGCATTGAGGTATCGGTCTTTGTGCGTAGGTTTTCTGTAAAGACAATTACCCAATGTTAGGTTTGATTTTCTATTGATAAGAATATCTAAGAATGGGTTATTAGTATTTTCTAATTAAATGGTAAAACGTATGTTAGGGTGTATAGAGCTGAAATGTCTAAGAAAATCTAATACAACGAAGATTACTAGGTTGCATTTTTTGGTCAACATTTGTGAATACATGCCATACACATTAAAAAACATTGTTGAACAAAAGATCTTTTATTTGTTAGATTTGATAAACGGACGTTCCTGATAATACAGAACCCATTTGTTTTCGAATATATAACTTTTTATTTTGAAGAGTACCCATGACACTATTACATAGATTGCAAAATATTGAATCCATGCATACTTCACGATTTGCCATACATTGGGATTAAAATATATGCTCTGCTCGGAATATTTAACCAATAAATTTATAGTGAACGTGTCTTTGTCTGCCAAATCGAACGTCGTATAGACGTTGCCTAAATTTGTTTGAACTGGAACAAAAATTGCTATTAATTAATTTTTAATTTACGCAACGACAACAATACTAATTTGTTGGCCTTACCATCCCTTTTGTAGTAATTTTTTATTATATTATCCAAATGGTAACTTTCATATTCGGTTTCTTTTGTTATGATGCTGTAATTGTAAGTGGAATGAATGTGATGCTTTAAACAGTTAAGGGGGCTTCTTTGATAAAATTGAAGATCGGCAAATGTAGACAATCCGGACATTGTATCGTGGATGTACTGTTGGTAGACAATAGCTGATTGCATTTGTAGAGGACAGATCGTCTGGAAATATGTTTGTTTTGTTATCAATTTTAATCACAATATCTTACTAAATTACCTCTATTGTATAATCGATAGGCAATATTAAATGGATGGACGAAATTTTAAAATTGTGGTTAGTATTTACTTCAAATTTAACATATATAGCGTCAGGCTTTCCATCATTTTCATAGTCTGATTCCCGTACCTTAAATTTTGATTTTATTGGTCATTATCGGTTTAGCGCGTTCGATTTTTTAAAAATAATTTTGATTCTTTAAATATATATTGTTTATTTACTTTTATCATGCTGCATTCATCCAGAAATTCTAGAAAGTGTTTATAGAACGGGAGTGAACTGCATATTATCACTTTACTGGAATTATTGGTTGTAGCGATTAATAAGTACTGGCCTTTAAATTTAACTCTAGGTTGCTCGTAAAATACGTCTCGCTTAAGCCATAAACCTAAAAGAACACATACATTTCATTCATTTATTCACTTTACAACAGCGCTTCAGAAGTTCCTCGTTGGGCTAATAACTTTTGTTCTGGAATATAGTACAAGTAGCTTTTATTTATTTGTTATATTGATTAATTTAAATGGCTAGTTGGTACCTACTTTTTTTACCCCCTTATGTACGGGTTGAATAAGATTTTGTATGTTCGAAAGGTATAGAAAGAATTTTGTAAAAATATTTCATTAGGTCTTGTTATAGCTTCGTAGCTATTGTGAAAAAATTATAATGAATTTACGTTATCAAAGAAATTAATAACAATATATATACAAATATTTCGGAATTATTTATCAGAATATTTAAAACTGTCTCATATATCTTCTTCACGAAATGTGCATCAACATCTTCGATATTAAAACATTATTATGATTATGATACTGCGCCATATTGAAGTTGTATTTCTATATTAATTTAAAAATATATGATCCCGATCCACCGAACAGATGAGTTAATATTTAAAAACAAATTGTTGTTCTCAAAAGAACTATTTTATTTACAATCTAAATAAAACAGCGACGTAAATAACAAGAAAATACCAAGGACGTGATTTGAGCTAAATATTAATATTTTGAGCCCAGTTAATAATAAATCGCCCGTTATATAATGTTATTTAAATGTTTCTTGAAAACTCAAAGAACTTATTGAAATTTGCGTGTACCATTGATATTTATAAGAAGGTAACTTGTACGCAAAATTACGGTAAACAATGTTAACGAAATTTTAATTAGTTACCTCCACTTCTATGGGATATAAAAAGCGGTAGAACTATTGACAATGTCCAACACATGAACGCAAGCAAAGTAGCTTTCGTGAGTAAAAAGCTTTTGTATTTATTTTTCAACACTTTCGAATGTACCTGCAAAACCACCATCACCAAATTCGAACGAAGAATAGTTTCATCGCGATTGTTTTGTTTTGTTTGTAGTTTGTAACCATAGCAACACGCAAACGGCGATTACAGCGTGTCCGAAATTGCAAGCAATGCATTTTTTACAAATGTGCTTATTTTAAAAAAATCTCAATCCGACAAGAATATTATTATACAGGGTGGACCTTTTTTATTGACATTGTACGGTTGCTTTTATACAATGAAGATACAATGTTGGTTAAATGGGATATAAGTTGTGTATTTAGGTGCCTAATGTTCTGAAGGTACCAAAACTAAATTTTCGGAAGTATACTAAGAAATATTTTAGAATAGAAATGGTAGTATTTATTTTAAATTTTACTAGGAAAAAGTTATTGCAAAAGTTGTAGGGTTCAAAATGGGTTTCTTCGAAATTCTGTACAGGGTGTCACAGTTTTGAACTACTATTATCAACACTTTTTACAAAACTTCTGGATGCCTTCTGCGTCAGTTTTTGTTGAGTCGAACTTGCTGACGTTTCGCCAATCATCCTGTTGGCTTCTTCAGAGCTTGACTGAAACAAGTTCGACTCAACAAAAACCGACACAGGAGTTATCCAGAAGTTTTATAAAAAGTATTACAGTAGCCTGTGGAAGTTTCTTTGGAAAATTAGTATTATCAACGTTTGAAATGCTAAATGGAGTACCCTATTCTGAGGATTTTTAGATTCTTTTAAAAAAATAAGTTAAATTTATAAATGTCTAATGGTATTTGTTTTCAAGAAAAAAAAAATCGCAATTTTCCCTATTGTAATTTAAAATCTCTTGACATAGGGAAAAATGATTTTCTCTTTTCTCTCGTAGCTTCTTATAGACTTCTAAAATGCGTAAACAAAACTTATTTCTGTATGAGATGTAGCAGCGGTGTACAAACACACCAACTTAGATCATTCCTTGTTACATCATCATAGAACGTGTTTAATATTTTAAAAAATAAATGTGTTAATAAAACAATCTATTAATAACAGGCATTAATTAGAAATTAAATTAGAACCAATTGTAATAACTGAATCAAAAATATGAAAGTGATGTACATTAATTAGTAATGAAAACGATTTTTTTAATCATATTTAAAACGAATTACTTAATTTAAAAAACTGTGCTATGTGTCCGGCATTTTGTTGAATGCAGTCTTGTTCTTATTGACACCTGATCCATAGATTTTTATATGAATTACGTTCTTATAATAAAAAATATTTACAACACATGGAGGATTAACTAAAGTTTTTTTTCTCTTTGTTTAAAGAATTTTGCATTTAATATTTTTTAAATCGAGTATTTTCACAATATCAAGTAATGAGAACCAAAATTATGCGTGGAAGTATTTTCTTGTTGCATTTGAATGGCCGTATTAGGTTGTTTAGCGGACGATAATGAGTATCTAATCACTTTACAATAAATAAATTTGATTTTAGATTCGGGTACGGACTATGGATTTGGAGTTATTACTAAAAATTATGTATTACCATATATTTCATCTAAAACTTTAATCACATCCAAAGTTAAATTGGATATCCAAAAGTTTATCCAGTTGGTGGATGATTCAGATTTGTGGTGTCCAACTGAGACCGTGACTACCGATGACTGGATAATCTCGTTAGTATCAGCATTTTTGACCGCCTTTGACGGCAACTGTTTTTTGCCGCAACTTATTCCTGTTTGTAAAGTGAAAGTAAGTTTTGGTTGGAAAGCGGTTTCGCTATTTATGATGTATATTTTGTAGGCAAAATTTTGCGAAGCCATTTTGCCTTTACTTGTCCATTTGTTGTTATTCATTAATAACCAAACCGTCACGGAAACTTTGTCTGCACAAATTAACGAGTTCTTTTCTCGCCATTGGAATCTAACTGTTACAAACATAACAAATCAAGACCTTATTGCAGTCAACAAGAAATCTGTCAAATGCATGCTTGATGTAATCAATTTTGTTAGACAGCAGTCTAGTTTTTCGAAGGAGTAAGTTTTTAGAATTTATTGTGTTTATTGATTGATTGTATGAATCGTACACATTGTACTCCATACTCTAAAATACTCAATTACTCAGTGAATTCAATAAGTGAAAATAGCATTGCAAATATACTAAGCGTTCACTTCTTGTGATTTTTAATATTTCGTAATATTGACCAAATTTTTAATTTTAAATTGTTTTTTTTTTTTAATTTGAAGTGTTAAACGTTATAATAATTATAAAATAGAATAACTGCCTAGTTTCGGTTCGAATATCATATAATATATAAAATCGCTGCGAATCCAGAAACTGGGTAATTATTTAGGAACTGGAAAACTCAGATATGTAAGGCTTTAAATGTTTCAAACAAAGGTAAATTATTTCAACAAACGTTTTGAAACAACAATTCTCTAAGCACTTTATGCAGTCTGGTTTAGTTGCTTATTGCTCTGTAATCATGTAAATTTGTAAGAAAGATACCAATATACCAATGTTTTATCCCCATCAGGTTGGGAAATTTGCGGTTGGATTATTTACGAATAGCAAACGCGGCTGCATTTTGCTCGGCCCATTTCACAGCGCTTTTTTATGGTGAACTGTGGTGCCAAGAAAAGATATCCGAAATTGAACAAAATGATTTCGGCAACGCTGCTTCTTTAGAAAACGGTTATACACGTTTAGATATAATCTACGAGAGTGTCTCTGAAGAAATCGGGACAACTTTACAAAGTATATTACGTAGCGTAAGTATGGTGTTCGCGTCAATTGCTGCCTATAGGTATAGGAACTGTACTTCTCAAAAAAATATTTTTCGACATAAAAATCTTCGGTGTTTTTTTTAGTTGTACATCAACGACCATTTTTTTCATTTGTTTGTTTGTTTTTAAGTCACTTTTAATACCAAAATTTATTTTTAAATATTGTGAAAGTTGTAAAATGCTTCTATTAATTCTATACTTGTAGGTATTTACTTTGTTGACTTTACAGATTATCCAAAGTTCATGTTCATGTTTAATTTGTCAGTTTCAAACACCACACGAAAGTCAGTTGTATTTTAATATTTCAGTACTATGGAGTTCTTGATTCCTTGTAAACAGTTATTAGTGATTTGCCTATATTGTTGTTATTACTTTTTATTATATTTCCACGAAATTGGCTTAGATTATTACTTGAAATTTGAAATTCCGATAACTTTATGTTGGTCTCTGCGTGGAGGGAGAGAACCAGAGAGAAAATATCTTTTCGCAAGGGCTTAAATAACATAAATGACATAGGAACAATGCAACTTTTCAAAAAAAAAAAAAAAAATTCAAGTACTTAACCTATCTCACTAAATAAGGTAATTGAAATACGACCCGTCCCCTATCAATGCGATGTCGGAAGGTATGGTAGATACAAGGAATATATTTCAGAAAAATCGAAAATTGAAGATTTTTGATTTTATTGGATCGGATTGGAAAACCATTTTGATAAACTTATAATAAACAAGATTCTACCTGTTGTGTTTGCTCGTGTAATTCTTTTATCCCTGTGATTTTAGGCCTATAAAGCGATTGGTGATATCGAAGCACTCTCTGGTTGCGGTATATCACCTTTAATGCGTCCGGAATTTCGTGTCGACCACTATAAAAATTTGAACCAATGGGGACACGTTTTGCATTATTACAGCACTCAACTTTTAGAAGAACCATACGTAGATAGCACCAATTTTATGGAAAGCCTGAAAATGAATCGTCTTTATCAATTGCCTTTACTGTGTTCAGATATATCTGAAGTGCCTCAGTACGAGTGTCTCTGGCGCTTGGGACAGTGGAGTACCAAAAAAAGAGACAATTTAAGAGAAGTTAAGATTAGTTCTGATGGTTACGAAAAATATAGATTTTATTCGATTAAAGCCTTACGCGATGGTGACCTATATGCTTTCAATGAATCAAAAAGAAAACTTGGTCTATGCGTAATGGAAAGTTTGAAGCACATTAGTTTGGAAAGTAGCAAGAATCTGTATCCGATTCTTAGTCAGTTGCAAAGTCTCATTGAAATAGAAGATTTTTCTGAAGCAAATGAAAGCGGGACTTTTGATGCTATATTTAAAAAGTGGCACCTTCAGGACTCGCTAATAAGACTGAATGACTTTCAATATGTGGAGCCAATAATGGCCCAAAGATTGACTTTGTTAAACGAGTTTGTTAAAAAACGTGCTGACTTGAAGCAATTTTTATTTGAAACAAGTTTAGATTTCGTAGGTAAGAATATTCCTATCTTTGCTTTCAAATATTTGCATAAACCGTTCATTTAATATTATTTCTCATTTTTAAACTGGTTTAATTATTTGTAAATAAAAGTTTGTCTGGATGCATTTTAAATGGCTGTGTCTTTTTTTCTCTAGAATTACTGAACCTTAAAAAATGGCATGATAAATTGTTGTTTACGTTCGTCCATTATTTATCATTAACTTGCAGGTCTCACTGTAAACCATTTATTTGCAATATAGCCCTAACATTTTTTTATTTTTTTGTTATTCGAATACCATTTTGTCTAATTGAATTTTACTAAAATAATAACTCTTTTTAGATTACGCTAAATCCGAAGGACACGTTCAAGTAGCTTCTAATATAATATATAATTTGCTAAAAATTGAAAATCTTAGTGAAGAGATCAAAAGCAATATTCAGCTGAGAGAGGCTCAACTGTCGTGGTTGAGAAACGATAGGGTGCTGGCGAAACATATTTTAAGTAAATTGTGCAAGAGTGAAAGTATTTCACCCAAGTAAGCACTGGTAAACTATTGCCTTTCATTTTTTATTTTTATTGTAATGCAGATTAAAAGCCAATGCCCTGAGGCTTCAAGGAGAATACATGATCGAAACCTACTCTGACTCGACAATCATTTTAAACAATTTTCTTAAATCACTTAGTTTGCTGTCTGAGTTATTAGGCAGTTTAGCAGAAGAAGATCACAGAGACATTCAAGACACGTTTGATAAAATAGCGACTTTTGCTGATAAAGAATATCAACAGGTATAGCTTTTGATAAGGCATAGTATTAAATGTAACTGATTGTTGCTAAAAGATTATGCAACAACTAAATTTTTCAATTTTAGATCATGAAACACGTGAAATCCGATGTCTTTCAAAAAAAAGTTTCAAACATGAAAAAGTGTAGGGAATTGGTAAAAAATATGCGGCAATGGCAAACAACAGAGGATGAAAAAAAATCAGCAACAATACACCATAGGCAGAGTGATATCGACGAAATAGAGATCAATAATGCAAAAGCGGAGAAAGATAAGATGTTGACTCGTGCGGTGAAGTAACTGTTTATTAGATCCATTTATCCCTCAAAATACTTATTATTTTTTTTCCATTTTCCAGATATTATTTGAAAAGTTTGATATTGAGTGACCTAAACAACATTAAGATTTTCCGATTGATGTCATTATTTCTCGAGAACAGGGATAATGAAAAAGCAGGAACGGAAATTTCAAAACGTTTGCATGAGATCCCATCATATAAGTATATAACCATGTTACCGCAACTCACACCTCATATCTCGGAACACCCGACGGATTTATTTGGCGAAAAGATAAATGCAATAATTGAAAAGTGCGCGATCGAGCATCCCCACCACACTTTGCCCCTGATAATGGCCCTCGTTAACTCTAACAAAGATCGAGAATATTCCAATTCAGGAACAAAGGCACTCAATAACGAAAGAATTTCAACGGCAGCGAATATGCTTCAGAAATTAAAGTATAAACACAATTTATCGGATCTGATTAACAAAATGCAACAAGTGGCCGAGGCGCTGATAGAACTTGCTTACTTCGTAGATCCAAAGCAGGACAAGACAAATAGAAGGAAGGAATTCGAGATTCCCAGAACACTTAAAATTCACAAGATTAAAAATTTCATTAATGTCCTGGTTCCCACCTACAATTTACCTGTCAATAAAACAAATAACTATGAGAATATTACAGGTAAGTGTGTAATTTGATGTTAATAGAATTAGCTTTGGGTTATAGAACATTACCATCTCTTTATCGCTTCCCTATGCAACTGTTCAAACAGCATTTGTAAACGTTAGTGTAATTTTATAAGTAATATGGACAACCTGACGTTCCCAAATTCTAACTTTTGCTATTAAGAGTAGGATTGAACAGCAGACGGACCGGCGGTCGCATAAACTAGAAGTCAAGTTAGCCACACTTCTTTGCATTTCGTATTTGAGTATGATTTTTTTTCTACTGGTGCATACTCAAAACCAGATAAAATACACACATCAGTCATTGCTAAAGTATAGACGTAGTTGATTGGTTAAGTTGTCCGTATTTCAAAATATACTTTTTGGTAAAGCTTGTGTAAACAGGGTGTCCCACCGGGGGACTCCCTCTATCTGTTATGGGAAAACTATGAGTAGTCAAAAAGGTAAAAATGTGGAATTACACTAATGTTGGTGGGAGTAATCCGGCTAAAATATTTTCGAGAGCGGGATATCCGGATATGCTGGAAGTGGGGTCAACTTTCGTATTTTAAATGGAATCCCCTATATATATATACATATATATATATATATATATATATATATATATATATATATATGTATATATATATATATGTATATATATATATATATATGTATATATATATATATATATATATATATATATATATATATATATATATATATATATATATATATATATATATATATATATATATATATATATATATATATATATATATATATATATATATATATATATATATATATATATATATATATATTTATTCACCGGAAAATTCTAGGTAATATTTCCAAACCAAAACTAACTATGATGACCGGCCGGACTAGCGCGATGTAAAAAAAATATACCAAAATAACTTAATTGATATAATTCATAACTTGGTTAGCGGAATACACCCTCAGATGTCGATTGTGATCTTTAATTCACATTTTGATCTAGCGTCATATTGAATATACCATTCATTCATACTTTTTTTTTATTAGGTATATCTGCGTTTTCCACATCCTACCAGAGCGTCGGAGGTATAAACGCGCCAAAACGAATCGTTTGTAAAACTACCACAGGTGAAAGTCACTCCCAGTTGGTTAAAGGACAAGATGATCTGAGGCAGGACGCCGTAATGCAGCAAGTTTTTACCATAATGAACAGTTTGCTATCGTCAAATAAACAGACACGCACTTTGCTCATTAGAACATATAAAATTGTGCCGTTGTCAATGAGGAGCGGTGTATTGAAATGGAACGACAACACTATGCCCATTGGACATTTTTTGATTGGTGAAAATGGAGGTAGCGGCGCGCATTCTAAGTTCAGGCCAATGGATATATCACCTACTGATTGTCGTTCACTTTTCACTGTAAGAATGTTTATCAAAGTTTTACTTGTTGATTTTCGGTGATCTGATTTATTTTCTACTAAATTTTCGTTGATGGATACAAACATTTCATTTTCAGAAATGTCAAAAATCTCCTAGCGAGCGAAAACTGAAAGTGTATAATGATATATGCACGAAATTCAAACCGGTTTTCCATAAGTTCTTTGAAACATATTTCCCTCAGTCAACCGTCTGGTACGAAAGAAGGAGGGCGTACATTTACAGCGTTGCCACATCGAGCATGTGTGGTTACATCTTAGGAATTGGCGATAGACATGCGAGCAACATACTTATCGACAAAAACACAGCCGAAGTAATACACATAGATTTTGGTAAGAGAACCATTAATAATTGTATTTCTGTTTACACCAAAAGTCCTGTCATGTCGGTTTTGGGGTATTTATACATTATATTATAATAAGTGAATGTGGATTTTGTTAGTTTCGGTAAACGCCGCAAGGTCTCGTGTCAAAGACAGAGAAAACTCGCTTTCAACCGACCTTGCGGCGTTTAACCAAAACTAACAAAATCCACATTCACATATTACAACATTACTGTTTATGTTGGCTTCAAAAGTGGTTGTATTATCAGCACAGTTAAAGTCTTTTTATATCAAGTTGCTATATGGATTAAAACAATTCAATTAACAATTTCTGGACGTATTTTTGTCAGATAAATTTTTTTACATCATATATAATAACTCCTGACAATTCTCGAATATTTAGTGCTAAATTGTACATTGAAGTAGTTTTTTTTTTATACATAAATTGTTTATTGACTTGCCCACTTTTTCTAAACAAAATGGCAAAAGTCGGATTGATTTTATCATTTCAAGGTTTTCTAGCTATTATTATTGTCTTTGTTTGGGCTTTCTGTTTTTGTTTTTTTTCCTATTTATTCGTATGCTTTAATTTTTGCTTCTTGAACATTTTGTTCTGCCCAATATTTAGTATTCCATAGTTTAAAAAAAAAAGTAAATGTTTCTCTTTATAAGTGCTTCTACCAGTACTACATTTACACATTCAATCGTCATGAAGAAATTACATTGTCTCTACTGGGTTCTATTAAAGGAAAATTAATCCGGAACCCTTTGTTATGTTATCAAGCAAAGTAATAAAAACCGCCTAATCATTTTTTGTTCATATTTGAATTTATTAAACTAAATAATGATGCCCAAATCTTGTCAATACTAATACTGGAATTTTCTGGAATATTTCTGTTTTATATCCATATTTGAACTTGTTAAACAGGTGGCAAGATTTGGTACCATAGCAAAGCAAATATTGCCGGGCTTATTTCGTCTCGTGGAGATCCGCTAGAATATCAGGCTGCTTTATAACTAGTATTTTTGTCATTTGCTCAGACCCTGAGGTTAATGGATAAATTCTATAATGTAATGTAATTATTAGATTTTATCAAAAACTCTTTTTTTAAGGTATTGCATTTGAACAAGGAAAATGTTTACCGACTCCAGAAACTGTACCCTTTCGACTCTCTCGAGATATCGTGGATGGTATGGGAATCTCAGGAATAGAGGGGTTATTCCGAAGCGCTTGTGAAAGGACAATGGAAGTTCTGAGAACAAATGCTCAAACAATTTTGACGATATTAGAGGTTTTGTTATATGATCCTTTATATTTCTGGACTGTTACAGCTGCTGAAGCTAACAAACGTCAAACGGACGACGAATATATTAGAGGCATTTCAGAAGATTCCGAAGAAGGTACGTTAATATTTTTTTGTTGCTGTACTTTATTTTGTTCAGGAGATGCCTACTATTTATAGAAAATAAAAATATTTCTGCTGAAAGAGCTTTACTTCGATTACGAAGCAAACTTCAAGGAACAGAGGGAGGCAAACAAACCAGTATTGAGGAGCAAGTTGATACTTTGATACAACAGGCTGTGAACCCAGTGAATTTGTCCAGGTTGTTTTATGGTTGGCAACCATATTTGTAGTTATTTCATTATTACTACCTTTTTTTATGATTAAATTAAGAATATGATTTATTAGAAGAAAAATATATTTTTTTAATGTGGAACATGTGTTTGAAGTTTGTCTTAATAAAGGACAATATTACCAAACTAACCAAAAACTAAAATAAATAAATGTTCCAAGTCACTGATATTAAAGTTATATTTTTGAATAGGTGAAATGTGATTGTAACAGTTCACTGCATACACTAGGTCAATGTCCATTACTGGAACATTTGTTTCTCCACGCTACATACCCATATTCTCCAAAATCTGATGTTGCGGGTATGTCTAATACCTAATTACCGAATGAATGAAAAAATACATAATCACATAGAGTAGTTGCTCATAACCTACAAGAATTCAGTTGTGTGACAATTAGAGTACAACTGCTAGAAATAACTAGACTTCTTGTAGTTTGCAAATTTTTTAAAATCTATTTTTATTGATAGATATGCTTTATAGCACCTATCTTCATGTGCGCTCTACATGATGACTATGTAACTACTATCAATAAGTCACATTTTACCAAGGTCCTACTCATATCTAGTTTAGAATGAAATAAAAAATATACTGATTTACCATTTTATATTTAAAGCATTTATAGTTTTTTCAACTGCATGATATTTTGTGTGTAACATAGCACATGCTTTATCAGTGTCTTGACCTCCAAGCCAGCAGTCATAGAGCATTTTAACAGATTTGTTATCATCGGGAGAACAAAGTGGTAAGTCATAGAACATTTTCTCTAATTCTGTGACAATTTCCTTTGCACTGATTCCTTCCTTTGGTCTAACTTGAGCTCCCCCATTAAGACAACCTAAAGGTATCAAATTTGATAAAGTTATTTTGTCTCATTTAATTCCACCTAAGGAAAGCATACCTGATGGGCACGCCATTACCTCAACATAATGATATTGAGATTTCCCTCGTTTCAATTTCTGAACAAAATTTTGTATATTTTTAAAGCCATTAGCTATTGCAAATCTAAGCAAAATTTTACCATCTCTTTCCAAAATTGCCTCTTTAAAATCTGGATTCCTGTATTAAATTTTCATGTAGACACAAAGTGTTTTCACTAATAAGCACTTACCTTAAGTTTTTATATTGAATTTCATTAAGAGTTATGCCAAACAACTCTTTGGCAGCATATCTAAATATATGATCTGAATATCCCCCAGATCCGCTGCCTGCATGTTTCAGCAAGTATGGATATACATCATCACCATGAAAGTTCAACCATGGCTGTGAAAATTTAGAGTCATGCAGATCTTTTAAACTAACACTTTCATTTGCTAACATTTGGTCTAACTCAACTAAAAAAAAAGAATTGCTCTATAAATATCAATGTTCACATATTGCAGCAATTATCATTTACTATACTTTAACTTGCCAAAACTATTATTAACAGATAATTCGCAGATATTATTCACATACTTGCTGTAATAACGCAGTCAACATCTCTGCTGTTACTTTCTTGACTGAAAAAGTCCTCTCTAGAAGCTTCTAATTTCTTATCATAACATGGCATCACAGTTACATGGTATATACGTTGATTTTTACCAACCCACTGTTTAATTAATGACCCCATAATTTGTTGTGGGGATTTCGTTGTTGAAATATATGGTAAAATGTAACTTCCATGTGTTTTTTCTGCATAACATACCCAACCTAAAAAATGGCCAGTAACAACGACCCAACTTTCTTTCTCATCGAAATCCAAATTTTAGTTTTGGCTAACCATGAATACAGATTATTACTGAAATAGATAGATACAGTAAAACAGAAAAAAATTATGAAATAAAAAAAATTAGAAGGCAAAAAAGCTCTAAAACTAAATCACAAGTAAAATTGAGTTTAGAAGTTTAAATGTGACCCAAACTAATCTTAATAACAAACCGTCTTTGGCAGCAGAATAAGTAGAGCAGTTACAGAATATCGAATTAATACCCTGAAATTAAATTTTTTTTGTTATATGTGAATAAAAATACCAGGACAACTTGATGCAAGCATTGGTAGAAGATATTTTTCTCCATCACTCTCCGTCGCTCTATATCTTTTAATAAATTCTTTCTGTGCCTCCAAAAGTGCAAAATCATCAGCTATAGCCATATCAACCACAATGTCAGCACCAAGTTCTTTGAAGTATGTGATTAGTTTTGCTGCACATTGATTTGGCAATAAATTGTATTTGACTGACAACGAAAGTAATGGCTGCATAGATATAGACACAACTATGATTTTTACATCATCCAGTTTTCCTTCCTACAATGAGGGAACATTTCAAATTGTACAAAAACAAAACAAAAACTGTTAAACTCTTGTAGTACCAATTTCAGTTTCCTATTTTCTGCAAATACCCTTAACAGTTCTTCTTGACTCTGTTGAGTTACTAATACACTTTCAGCTGTTGTAATGCATCCTGAGCATGCTAAGCAATCAGCTAAAGTAATTTCTACTTTTTGTAGTTTCTGGGCACTTCCATCCTATTAAATTTATTGTCAGTAGATAGTAAAGTACATATTTTCACTAACATACCTCTTCAATCTGGAAATAGGAACCATCTTCTTGTATTTTTACCTTAGATCCTGTTCCCGATTTTTCCTTTTTTATTTCCACTGGTTTTATGCACTCCTAAACATTTAAAATAAATATTCCCAAAAACAAGAGCATATGAACTTTACCTGGGATGGCGAGATAAAATCATCTAAATCTGTTAATTGTAATACGCCACTAAATCTAGACATTCTTAAAGAAAACGTTTAAGCAATGCATAACCACAAATAGTTAAAATTTTCGATTCTCTCAATGACGCTTTGCAAACTCGACGCTTCTACTACAGCTTATTACAATAAAGTTGAATTAACTACATGAAAAATAATTGAATACATTAGGGTTAGTTGCAACTTCGTCTTCGCAGTGGTTGATCCGTCAATTTGAGGTTTTATTATGGGTGCTTTTAATACCCATTTTCGTAGGAGCTATGGAACAACGGACTCCCGCAGAAGTACCTCATAAATATTATGTCGAAGTTCCTTGTGGGAAATGTGCCCACCAATATTGCCAAACCACAAATATTTGATTTTTATGGCCGCTCCATTCAATGTGGAGATTTATTTAAACTACACTTGTGTCGGTTTAAGAGTCCATTCCAATAAAATGTGGCTTAGTCAGAAAATGAAATTTGACTGACAGGTCTCCATATTTATTTATCTGTCTATAATGAACAAACAAACCTCTATTCTGCCATTAATGCTTTCCTCGCGAAATTCTTGTAACAAATGAATATTATATGGCCTGAACCCCTCCCGTTTGGTTATTTTTTTAATAGAATATTGACTTATATTTTGATCTAAAACCAAACTCTATTTAATATAACAGTCAAAAAATTATATGGTATATGGTCAAAAATATACTTTCTACTGTTAGCTTTTCCTACCAGCATTATTATTTTAACTGAAATTCCCCGAATATTGTTACACTCCGAGACAGTGTTTTAAGATGTGTCTTTTGACACAGGCAAAAACTGTACGATAGTGTTTTCAAATTATTTTTTTACAACCTTTTCAAGATAAACTAAATAAAACATGACGTCCATATTAATTTCATCTACCTACAAGCTATTTATAGAAATACATTTTAATAAAATGTTCACAAAGAGACTAATAACAATAATTATACTATCTTAAAACAATGAATTAAAAATATGTTATCACAAAATAGCATTATACAAAGTCACACGCAAAGGCTATCACAAGTTTATATTGGAATTAAGGTGTCCTAAATCGTAATATATCCTAGAAAATGTTTATTCATCCGACATTTAAAATAAAAAAGAAAATAATTACGAGAATTAAAAATATTTTGTAATAGAGCCCTGTCTTTTGCGTTCTGCCTTGGTATTCTTAGGTTCATTTTTGATAAGAGATAAGGAGAGTCAGCTTGATCGGTTAAAACTTTGTGGAGCATGAACAGGTCTGTTGGCGTTCAAATATCAGTGTCAGTTTTATATGCAAGATATCGTAGAAATCTTTCTACATGTTTCAAACGCGCAATGTGTGTGTTATAATTAGGAATCCAAATGACTGAGGCGAACGAAAGTTTTCTGTGAACAAACGCATAGTACAGTGCAAAAGTATTGGATATTTGGAGGGATTGTTCCAAGCTCACAAGGTCTTGAGGTATATTATCAAGTTATTGGTGAAGGGTTGTAGTTTACAATGTTTGAAACATTTTTGAATTGAATTAATATATGTTATAAAAAACAAATGGCCCTTTGGTACACCGAATGTGATGTCTAAAAACTCTGATTTTTATCCGTCAACTGGTACTCTACCTTTCCTATCACTGCACAATCTAGCCATATCGGACACCGCTACCTCTGCAAGCCTAATCCACAATATCTATCTCGTTGAGTACTTTACTAAGGTCTGTGTATACTACTTCAACCTGACCTTTACTGTCAACTGCCCTAGTAACAAATTCAGAGAAACTTAGAAAGTTCGTTTCGGCAGGCTTTTTTGGGAAAAAAACCATGTTGTTTTTCAATTATTTTATTTTTTGCACTTGGAAAAATACTATCATACATAAGTTTCTCTAGGATTTTTCTAAAGACACAGAACTTGCTTACGAGGGAATATGAGAGACGCAAAGGAGTATATAATTTCTCGCGGTAATGCCGAATTATTTGCACATTTTTCAATAAATACAGGTGGAATGCTATCCGGTCTGGGACAATCTTTGATATAATTCTATGATATTGCTACATGAAAAATCGTTCGCTTTTATTATATTTTTATTTAACTTCAAATCTTGCATACGAATTGCATGATAATTACCTGTACGATGATTACCTGCTTGAATTTCTAGACGCCTGCAGCGAGAATGTTCTGAGCTTTAAGCAGAGTACAGTAATATAGTGATACTCTTAATTTTTTAAGAAGTTTCCGCCTATTGCTGTGTTGCGTTATTAGTAGTGTTATTCATCATAAAAAAAATAACCAAAAATTAATTACTGAGTGAGGTTCACTGTAAGATTTCGGAGGTCAATAACAGGGTAAGACAGTATTATCAACATTAAAAAAAGAGGAACTTATAGCTCCGACAAGGCAAAACAGATGACATTTTTGTATGCAGACAATATAAATTGCTAGATATTATGTTCGGCTGATATTTTCTCGATATTTGACATTTAAAATTTCAGTAATATACGAAAATACGACGCTCTATCGATCTTCCATTTATTTGAAAATACATTATTTAACGGGAAGACGTGACACAGGTACAGACACACACAGCAGCTTACCCCACATCCGACATTCCGAACAAGTATTTTAAAGTATGTTTTCACATAAGATGTCCATAACAACTGTTTTTAGTACCAATATGTTTTTAATTAGTATTTAAAAATTTTCAAATACTAAAAAAATATACTTTATTGCAGTATTTCAGTTATGCTGAAAACTAGGAAAAGAAAAATTTTTGGTGTGTGGATTCGTCATATTGCATATTGACATCTGTCAGTTTTGACTACAACGCTACATGTCACTCAGTATTTGTGCTGTTTTTGTATGGAACTAATAGTCATAAAAAAAGTATAGTAAGCCAACAACTGGATGAACTTCTTCAGAACTCGATCTGCAAAAACAAAATTGTGGCTACAGTGTCGTTCATTAAACTTGTTGCAAAATATACTATTACACATTTGTAAGGTAAGATATTTTATTAACGGGAGTTTCTTTTTAATGGGATATCCAACAATTGATCACTGGCGCGGATTTAGCTATACAAGGTTCTCGCCCGAAAGGTTCGTCCGGTAAGAGCTGTGCCGCCCACGGAAGTTACGACACTGCAACAAACTAAAAAGTCAATACATATTTATTTCTTTTGACTAAACTTCTCATCCCAGAGAACTTGAAAACACTGCAACTGAATGGCTCCAAAAATGCATTTATTTTAGAGTTAGATAAACTAAAAAGCAAGTAATTGTTGGCTATCGACACCTATCTATACATAAGCCAAGAGTTCCATGATTCCAGTCTCTTCCTACCGAGCTATTTTAATATGTGGAAGGCTATGTTGATCATATCGCTACCCTGAAAGAGGCAGCCAAAATTCAACAGATTTGTTTATTCCATAATTTATTGAAATTTTATGGTATAGAATTTAATCTTTCTAAAGGCAAATTGATAAACTTTCATAAATAAAAAACATTCAACGATTTTGCGTGGCGCATGGACAATATTGTATTTTTTATTTCAGATCTAAATAGTTTGTACAGCCTACATTGACAACACAATCAATAATCTCGTCGAATGCTTCAACTAGAACTCTATACTTTTCATTTTACTTTATTTTTTTTATTTTATTTTATTATAGCACATCTGTACAATACAAATTTTATTTTTTACTTAATTTTCCTTAAAAATTAAGAAATTAAAATAACCCAATAAAGAGAAGAATCTCCATAACTAGCCGTCTTTTCCTATTCTAAAATTTTCCATTTATTTTTGGTTACGTCGGTGCCATTCGAGCTTAGATCGTTTATAGCCAATAGTCGCAAGTGCCATTTTATTTATCATTCAAGTTAGTAGTTGATCAAAAACGTCGAACGTCTTGCCTCTCAATCTCAGAGTCGTGAAAAAAAAAACATTAATTAAATTTGAAATTTGTTAGTGAGGCAAGACAAGGCCCACGCTAGCTCACTAACCAATTAGAAAAATTAATAAAGTAAAATATTACTAAATAGAATATAAGCCCAAGTTAAAATGTGGTGGAGGGCACCTCGGTCGGTCCCGGAAGGTGGTAGGTAGGCGCCACGTGATTAAAAAAGAAAACTTGACGCAAGGTTTCCACCTGAAGAAATAAACCAAATGAATGAAGTTTCGGCGGTGTAAAATAACCTAACATGCTATGATTTATTAATGAATTATATATTAAGTTTAAGAATATAAGTTGCGCATCCAGTTCTTTAAGAGAACGGGCCACTTATGGGAGGACGCAGCACTTAAGCTATCAAAACCTCAAGCTCTCCTGAACGTTACTCCGCGGTCTTGTATTATCCCGGTAACCAAGCCACAAGACTGAGTGGTGGCCAGCACGTGAGCGCCCCCGATAACCCGGCAATGTCGGTCAGGAAAGCCAGCTACTGGACAACCAAACACTTACGCATGAGACAGCATACAATGCAAGACACCAACTCTAGCGAAGATCTCTGGTATGGCGATGAAGAAGGAAACAACGTTGAAAGGTTAGTGGCAAAACGGAACAAAGAAAAAAAAACCTAAAATAAAATCGGCATAAATTGAGGAGCACGAATTAGGTGGCAAAATGCCTCCAAGACTAAGTTACCTCGATTCGAGGGTTTTCTGGAAATGCGGAGCAAGACAATTCTTTTTCAAAATCCCTAGTTGTGGAAGATTTCTTTTCCAAACTCCAAATAAATCCAAAAGTATGGAAAGTCACAAATTAGTAACCAATTTAGAGTGTAAAAGAGAGTGTAAAAGCCGGTCGGGCAGACAACCAGTTTTATTGAAAACACCACTCTTGCCAAGCCAATCCATGATACGCCACCAGTAGATCGAACAACTGAACTCTATCTGTGGTGGTGGCTGGTATGGCTAGGTCCAAACAAAATAAACCCATTACTACGACAATTTTCCAGTACACGTTGCGTTAAAAAAATACTAAACTTTCCCATTGAAATATGAAACCGCCAAAAACGATGAAACATAATTCTTCCTGCTTTTGGTTAGTCTAGATATGATTTTTTTTGAAGATATACATAGGCGCAAAAAAAAATTTTTTTAAAACCTTCAAAAATGTATCGAATCCTATATAATTTGAATAATTCGTTGTTTACTTGTCTCATAATTATTGATTTAAAATTAAACTATTGTCGTTTAAAACTTTAGGATCCAAAAATGTGCAAATTACTTTATAAACTCTTCCAGGATCCTGCTTCTAGTGTCAGATGTGGGGTACGTGGAGTGCTATGTTTCACGCCAATTTACCTCTTAAATGTTGTGTTCTGAAAAAATATAGGATCGATGAGCTTCATCGCCGTATATGCATTCGGTTGTACTTTTTTGTCACGGTTTTGTTCCAGTTATGAACAAAGAGACGAGAATAAAAACTCCGCTCAAATTACCAAAACTCTGCAATAATGGAGTTCATCTGCAGTTCGTTACTGAATTTTTAATTGTCGGATTT